TATCAGTACATCAAGTAAACAAGGCGGTGAAGTGGAAGATGAAGATAAGGAAATTCAGTCAAAAGAAATGTAAAGTACTAAAACAGACAAAGAAAGAATGAGAAAATGGTGAGATTCGGTATAGTGTCGTTAAGATGAGGATAATGTGTGTGTATGTATACATTGGCGCTACTGACATCGCTTCTCATCCATGCCATCACCTACAGTCTCCAACCACTCACTAGTTTCTCTTGTCCCACTGACCACAACCGGCCAGTTTACACCGTTCCACATGGCTCAAACCAACAGTCAGAGACTTCATACATTGATGCCATGTTTTAGTCTGGTCACCTCGGGACTTTTTCCAACCTGAACCTACTTCAACCAAAATTGTGTGACGAGGCAATCGGTGATTAGTTATGTGTAACACATGTCCCAGGCAGCCATCTGAGTCGATGAAGGTTCACAACCATGTCAACTGATTTACCTCTTCTTCCTAAAACTCTACACCTGAGCCTGACTTTTGGGTTACTGACATGCTGACACCACGGATTACGACAGCTTATACTACGAAGGCAGCGATGGTCAAACACTTGAAGTCTTCTCATATCTTCCATCTCCAATGGCCAATTTTCACAGCCATACAGTGGAACTGAGTGGACTGCTGTACAGTATACGTGACACTTAGTAGATAATCGAATATCAAGGCAGCTCCATAGGTGGCGTAAGTTGGCGAAAGCTAGTCGAGCCGTTTGCATGTGTGCAGAGATTTCACCGGCCACTGAGTCATTAGGGCTGATCCTACTTCCCAGGTAAGTGAAGTGGTCAACACACTCAACCACTTCACTCTCTATTGTTAGCCGCAGTGGGGCACCGTTGAAGAACGATCGTGAAGCGGCAATTTGCACTTGGGTAGTGAGAAACGCATCCCAAACATTTTCAAATTCCCACTCAAAGTGTTCAGAAGACTCTGCATCTTGTCAGCGTCTTCACCTAACAGGAGTATGTCATCTGCATATTCTAGGTCTAACGAAAATTCTCCACCCATTAGGTCAACGTTTAGAAATGAATGGAGATTTGTAGTCTAGGATTAACAGTAAGGTAGTAAGTCATGAAGGCACAGGACTAATAGTTATATATCTCAGTCAAACACAATGACAATTTATATCTGATGAGATAATAAAAAAACTTGGAGTTGTGGGGGAGGGATGAGACAAAAAAAGCAGTGTATAACAAGGGACTGTTTGAAAGCTAAAAGGTTACGTAATGACATGAAATACTGGAAGATCGTTCAGTGATTAGTAATGAATCAGTATTCATCGTTTAGGTGTAGTCTTACCTGTGTAGTATATTATCACTTAGATGCAATATTTCAACCAGTGAAATCTGTGATTCACTGAGATTATGTTTGACGTCAACGTTTTTTTTTTTACTTTTCGAGGAAACCTCTATCGGCAAACGAGTGGGGTAACAATAGGTTCATGTGTCTCACCCATTGTAGTTAATCTATATATGCACAAAGTAGAATCAGACCTATATAACCAACATGATTTGAAACCAAGAATATGGAGCAGGTATGTTAATGACACCTTTGGCATAATCAAAAACAAGGGCTGGAAAATCTCTTACAATATCTTAACAGGCGTTTCAATTCTATAAAATTCACATATGAACTAAAGACAGAATTCAGAGTGCTGGCTTGCGTAGATTGTAAGACGATACGAAAAAATTATTGGACACCTGACATTTATGTCTATCGAAAAGATTAACATTCTAACAAGTATATTGACTTCGATTCAGCACATCCACTAGAAACTAAGTTAAACGTTACGAAAAATCTCTTGACGAGATCATAAAGGATACCAAATAAAGTGGAATTTCAGGAAATCGATAGGCAACTTGTTCGAGAAGTCTTAAAACAAATTAACTATCTGGAGAAGCTAATAAAAAAGATAGAAAAAAGTTTAACTGAAGAAGATTCAGAAAAACCAAGCCATAAACATTGGATGAGTACTATATTACTTCCTCATCGAACATGCACATCAGAGGAAATAAAACTTATCCTTAATAGTCACAGCATTAGAGTATTCTTTAAGGTGACGAACATATTACACTCACATTTGTGTAAATTAAAAGATCCGATTCCACATTTGGAACAACTGTAGTGAATGCGATGCCATATACAATGGAGAGACATCATATTAAGTGCTAACATGTCTAGCCGAACACAATAGAAGTTGCAAGAAACCACGAGAATATTCCTATGATTTGGAAAACACTTGAAAAAAACTCTCCATCACAGCTCATGCCGTATATTCAGGTTTCTCGAAAAAGAGCGGAGCATTGCAGAAACTTTGCACATCTATTCGTCGGTCAACAGAAAAGATGGGTTAGACATCCAACAAATATGCTGACAAACATCAATGACTGGTATAGACAGTTGTAAATAATGTAGATGAGAAGGTGGAACACAATTTCATTCCACATGATTTATTATGAATTCACTCTTGCTTGAATAGTTTCCGGTGTTATTTCGCTTAATCGTCTTAATCACGTCAAAAAATATTGTTTGCATCTTAACAACCCGTCTAATCCTACTACATAACACTCTATTGATCTATTAATTTCATCAATTTTACGCTCCTTTCAGAGTTATATACATTCTATCAACCATTCTATATATTACATAATCCAGTTTGTTATCACTCATACTCCAACCGTTATCAAAAGTACCTTTTTATCGTTATCATCATTTGACTATCCAAGATAGCCATTGTTTGGCAGACTGGTATTAATACTGGGTGATTATTGAAGATGAGATAAAAATGTGGATCGCGACCGGACTCGAACCAGCGACCTGATGTTCCAATATTTATCCTTCAAAACTAGTAATCTATTCTTTCTCAGCCTTGATGATTCACAACCCTATTGTACTTTTCATAATCGAAGTAAATTATTTCTCCACCCTATTTTTGTTCCACCTTACTTACACAACTGCAAAAAGTCTCTTTGACTGATTTGCTTATTCACTCACCTGTAGTAATACATTGATCTAACGATGTAATTGGGTGATTGTACGAAAACTTGAATATCAGTCTGAAAATTTGATGTCAAATTGATACTCTTGAAAAGAATCTTCTTAGCAAGATCGAAATGTTGAAGAATAATGCACAAAAAATTTGTTTATTTTGTTATTTGTTCTAATAAACTTTATACAATGGATCACACTAAGTTGGCGCCCAAGTTTTTTAAAATCATCCAGTCCATTGATGGTCAGGATGCCTTCAAAGTCAGTAAGTAATTGATGAAGAGATGATACAATCAAAAGAAAAGGGAAGACTATGTGCATACATACACATCCAAAAGGTTATATATAGTTGCCAAAGTAAAGAAAGGTTAATTACCATCTCCTTCTGACTATAATAGGTCAAGTTGAAAAATGTTTGAGTAGGAGAGCTTCTGCAAACCGTTATAAACATGGTGTTCTTTGTTTGTTGATAATCGTGAAGGATTGATAAACATCTATATTTGTTGTCTTGTCTCCATCAGGTGTCTCGTGGTTGCGCTGTTGGAGACCTTGCTGCTATTTATACACAGATTTGTTGGAATATCTTCATAAAGTCGAGTAGATGCTGTTCTTTCGGTTCGTCCTATGTACTTGCTTTGACAACTGCAGTTGAATTGATATAGGCAGTTGGAATTGACATCTCCTCTATTCCACAGCTTCGTAACTTTTATCTTATCAGATATAAATTGTCACTGATTTTGAATGAGATTTGTGATTATAAATCCTGTGTTGCCTTGACTCACTCACTCCTTATTGTTAATCCTGGATTTCAAATCTTCATTTATTCCTACATATTTAAAGTATGTAATGCCATAATTACTACTAGTAATACTTCGTTTGAATTGTAGGCTGTTTACAGCTGATGAAAGGCCATGAAATGAAATGAGGTTATTGTGGTGGATGGGATCATACAGTAAACAGTGAGGAGCTTGAAGAGAGGGATATGGTGGACCGGGTAGAAAAGGTCCTCGAAGATTTGGATTAGTCGGATGACTTGTTTCTAATGTTGCAGAAACTCGAAGATCTGCAGGTGACAACTAACAAGTTGACAGTAGAGGCAGGGAAGACAGGACTTGAAGTGAACGCCATCACGAACGAAAACCAGGTTCCAATTACCATTAAGGGGAGGAGTGTGAAGGAAGTAGCCTCTTACCTGTGTAGGCGGCATCGTTTGAACTACAGGTGGCGGGACAGAGGAGGACGTGGAAGCCAGCGAGGATCGGGAAAGCGAGACAGGCTTTCCTGAAGCTGAGACCAGTGTGGAGTTCTGCTGTACTGCACTCAGCATAAAGCGTGAACAACATCTGTATTTTGGACACTAATGTTAGTCAAGCCAGTGCTTCTATACTATATGGTTGAGAGACTTGGGGGCGCGTTACGAGAAGCATTTCCAACAAATTACAGACATACAACAACTGCGTACACTGGCTCGATACTGAAGCTCAGGTGGCCAGAAAGAATAAGGAAGATGGGACTCTGGCTGGCTGGTTGGCTGGTGACGAACCAACCAAGAACGTATTGGTCAACAAATATGCGGTGGAAGGAAGTTGAGATTGATTGGATTGGGCATGCACTGAGAAGAGCATTAGGGTACATTACATGCCAGGCGATTTCCTCTAGTGGAAGGCAGATGGGAAACGGCTAGTTGGGTGTCCGAGTGGAGGGCGACATGGAGGAGATCATGTGAGGAAGAGATGAGAGGTTGTGGGCAGTTGTGGAGCCAGGTAGAAACGATTGCAAAGAAGAGAGTGTAACGGTGATGTGCTGCCGAAGCCCTGTATTCCACTAGGAAGTCAAGGGACAAATGATAATAATAATTTTATTCTGTGAATGTTTATGTTCTTGCATTGTTCAAATTAGTCAACTGAACTAAGAATTTCGCACTCCTGAGTACTTAAACCGCATAATAATATAAGCTTTTCGCTTTTTTTTTCTGTCCTGTTTTGCCAATCAGCGTTGTTGAATTAACTGGCGATGTAACTCCCGACATTCAACATTTAATACGATCCGATTTAATAGTAACTACTCCTGAAAAATGGGATGGTATTTCACGATCATGGCAACACAGAGCCTATGTTCGTCAAGTTGCTTTAATTGTGATTGATGAAATTCATTTACTCGGAGAAGAACGTGGTCCAGTCCTTGAAGTAAGTGTAAATCTATCTTATTTATTATTAGTAGCTTGGGTTCCTAGTGGAATATAGACATATTGTAGCACCTTAACATTTCACTCTCTTCTCTCCAGTCTTCTCAACCTGCCTCCACAACTGACCACAACCTTTCATTTCCTCCTAACGCCATCTACACCACGTCACCCTGACACACCCAACTAGTCCTTTCCTATTTGGGTGCCACTCGAGGGTCGCGTGTGGCACTTGATCTCCCAAAACCGACTTCTCAGTGTATGTCCAATACAATACAATACAATCCACTCCAATCGATCTCCACTTTCTTCTACCACATATGTGTTGAGCGATAGCTTATTGGTTGGTTGGTTCGTTGCCAGCCAGCCAGAGACCCTTCTTCCTTATTCTTATTATTCTCGACATCTCATCCCCACATCTTCAGTATCGAGTGAGCGTAGGTGACAGGTGTTGATGATGTATGTGTGCAGTTTGTTGGAAATGCTTTTCGTAAGGCGTCAAGTCTGTCAAGCATATAGTATAGAAAGAAGCACTGACTTGACTGAGATTAGTGTTGAATATTGGGATGTTGTTGACGCTTTATGCTGAGTGGAGTGATGTGACATCGTGATGTGTCCGTGTGCCTGTGTCGCCGCCACCGCCACTGCCGCTGCCTGTAGTTGAGACGATACTGAGTTGTCTAGGTAACCAGGTGGAAGAGACAACTTCTTTCTCATTTCTCCCGTTGATGGTGATTGGTGCTTGTTGTCGGTTGGTTGGTTGGTTGATTGGTTGGCTATCCTCATCACCTGTGTCTTCTCTACCTTCACCTGAAGGAAATCCCGTCTTCCTTCTCTCCCTCACCTCGCCTATTCTGCTAACTTGTTAGTTTTCACCTGTTGATCTTCGAGTTTGTGCAACAAGACATTAGACATAAATAATCATGATGGATGAGATTGAAATCTTGTTGTTGGGTCGTTTCATTGTTGCAGACAGTGTATACCCCACTACTCGCTCGTCACAGTTTGTTGCATGATCCAGTGTAGTGCAGTCTGGTCGACCACAATCAGGAAGATGATGTATGATGATAGTAGGTGGTAGCCTTGTCTTACCCCTGTCTGGTTTTCATTTCCACTTTAAAGGCATCAGTGAGCTGTTATTGTGAATCAGTTGATATGTAGTATCATGTGGGATATAGGTGCTGTTGAATGATGTTGATAAAGTTTTGTGGTAGTGAAACCGTTGTGTTGAAACAGCTGCTTGCCGAATTACCTCTAGGTTGAGGCTGTCGAAAACCTTTTCGAAGTTGATGCAGTTGAGGTAGAGCGCTGACCGCCATTCTATGCTCCGTTCTATGATACGTAGTGTTGCAATTAGATCTGTGCATGATTAGTTTTTCCTGAAGTCAGTGACCCTGCCTGTTTCGGTGGTAATTTTGAATCCAGCTTATCTTTAAGTCTCTCCAGTATGATGCGGCTTAATATTTTGATTGGGGGGACAGTCACAGGAGCATGATTTCGTACCAGTTCTTGCATAGACTTAGGTCTCCCTTCTGTGGGAGTCTATGTATATAAATATATATGTCACGATCAACATAGGACCAGGTATTATTGTTTAACTGTCCAAGTTGCCATACCTTAATGAGCAAGGTAATAAAGTGAAAGACAAATAAAAAAGGGCAGTCGGTCAAAGGAAGGAATAGTAGAAAGTATTAAAAGTGAGGAAGGAAGAATGAGATGATGAAACTATGTTTAACGGTCAAGATGAGGATAATATGTGTATACATCTGCTCTACTATCAGTCTCCAACTACTAGTTGTTTCTCTTTTTCTGTGTACTGCAACTGGCTACACTTCATCGGCCCACTTGAAAGCGAATCAGACAGTGGCTAACCGTATTTTCATTTGATATTATAATCACATTAACTAATATTGTTTTTACTCTTTAAAGGTTCTTGTTTCACGAGCTAACTACATAGCAAATCAACTTGGTCAGTCTATTCGAATTATTGGATTGTCTACTGCTTTAGCAAATGCACCAGATTTAGCTGCTTGGTTACATGTCCCATCTACAATGACATCTATATCAGAGGTTGCTGCAATCTCAGGTATTGATTATGGTTTAACTGGTAGAGGTTTATTCAATTTTCGACCATCTGTTAGACCAGTCCCTTTAGAAGTTCATATTCAAGGTTATCCTGGTCGACATTATTGTCCACGTATGGCTACAATGAATAGACCAATTTATCAAGGTGAATAATGATAACTTGTATAATCAATTTTTTTAATTTACTGATAATCCGCTTTTTTTCAAGATCAGACTTGAGATTCATAGGTACTAATTCAATCGTTTGTCTCTTTAATATATTGGATATGTTACTAATAACTGATAAATCTGGGTTATTTGACGGTGTTGAGGTGTTTAATTAGCTCTCAAAGATGCTACCTTACACTACAGTGTGTTCCGAGTAAACAAAAGTGTATAAAAAAGCGATTTTACAGCCTTAGTGTATGAGTCTTTTTCCTGGACCACTTGTTTTCTTTTTTCAATATGCTTTTATGGGGGATTTTTCATAATTTCAAAGATAGTCTGTTATTCTGAAAAAGTTATGTGTGCTGTGATTATCTCTCAGGGAGAATATTATCACTTACTGATCAGCATGCTTACATGTGACGTGTCACCGCCTATCTAACTCGATCTGCCATGTTAAGCGAAGCTGGATTAGATTGGAAAAAGCTTCAGAGTGACTAAATCAAGACGTGGCATCAATCGACGAAGCCTTTGACTGTTGGTTTGAGTCGTGTGGGGCTATGGTCCTTGAGACGAAAGGATTCAGCGGTTGAGGACTCTTGGTGACATCATGATTGAAAATCGGTCACAATGGTGCAGATATATTCACTTCTTGACATCTTCTAAAGCTTGAATATTTGCACTAACCTTTATCTTCAGATTATTTATTCTCGCATACAATTTTGTGTTCTTGTTTTTTTCTATCCGCCTGTTCTTTGTATACTACTTTGAAGTGTGCCAACTTGAGGTGTTCGAGGTTCTACGTTAATTTTGTCTGTCTGTCTATCCGGTAACATCAAGGCACCTACATAATCAATAGTAGACGATCGATTTTGCTTAAACAGATCAACGACTAGCCATGATATAAAACTGATTCAGTTGGAAAAATGGTGTCTATCGAAGCTCATCAGCTCTACTACAACTAAAGTGTTAGAAACGTGGTTTGAACTCTTGTAGGGACTATGATTCTCGCTGAGATGGAGACGGGAAGTACACTTAGCGTACCTTTTATTCCAATGCTGACGATTGATCTATTTATATGAGTAACAAAAGTATATTGATTGCTCAGTGGAGCGTGGTCAACTTCATGTGCTGTTCGGATTCTATTGGTCATTTTACGATGTGGCCACTAGACTAGGTAGCTCAGTATCTGAATGCACTTTGTTAGATGTTAGTTGGATGGAAGCATTTAACAGGAACTCCTACTAGACCCAGGTTTCATGCCTGTTGGAACTTGTAAGTAAGGTGTATGTGTAACTTTGACCGAGCCTATGTTTGCCTGAGATACAAACCCCGCACCATTGAGTGTTGCAGTCAATGACATTACCACTGAACTGTTGTTTTTCACATATTTGTTCATCATTTTCATGTATTTTACAATTCCTTTCCTTACAGCCATTCGTAGTCATTCACCTATCAAACCAGTACTCATCTTTGTATCAAGTCGTCGACAGACTAGACTAACTGCTTTAGATTTGGTTAGCTTTGTTGCAGCCTCAGAGAATTCCAAGTGTTGGTTGCATATGAAACCAGAAGAAGTAAGTGTCCGGCAAACAAAAAACATCATAACTCATTGTTGTTATTTAGTATTACTTTATTTTGTATTCTATATACTGACCTGAGGAAAAACAAATCATTTGTGGATCAAATTGCAATGCTACGCTATGCATCACCATAGACCAAAGCACAGAACGACAAGTGCTTCAACAAACGGCTTTAGTACCACCAAACTTTATCAGCTTCACTCAACAGCACCTATATGCTACATGATACTACATATCAACTGATTCACAATAACAGCTCACTGATGCTTTTGAAGTGGAAATGAAAACCAGACAGCGGGAAGACAAGGCTGCCACCTATTATCATCATACATCATCTTCCTGATTGTGGTCAACCAGACTGCACTACACTGGATCATGCAACAAACTGTGACGAGCGAGTAGTGGGGTATACACTGTCTGCAACAATGAAACGACCCAACAAGTAGATTTCGATTTCATCCATCATGATTATTTATGTCTAATGTCTTGTTGCACAAACTCGAAGATCAACAGGTGAAAACTAACAAGTAAGCAGAAGAGACGAGACAAGACGAGGTGAGGTGAGGTGAGGTGAGAGAAGGAAGACGAGATTTCCTTCAGGTGAAGGTAGAGAAGACACAGGTGATGAGGATAGCCAACCAATCAACCAACCAACTGACCAACCAACCAACCGACAACAAGCACCAATCACCATCAACGGGAGAAATGAGAAAGAAGTTGTCTCTTCCACCTGGTTACCTAGACAACTCAGTATCGTCTCAACTACAGGCAGCGGCAGTGGCGGTGGCGGCGACACAGGCACACGAACACATCACGATGTCAATGCCACCATCGGAAACACACCAACACAGGCCTTCATTAATCTCAAATAATCACTGTGCAGATCTACTCGCCTCCACTCCACTACACTCCACTCAGCATAAAGCGTCAACAACATCCCAATATTCAACACTAATCTCAGTCAAGTCAGTGCTTCTTTCTATACTATATGCTTGACAGACTTGACGCCTTACGAAAAGCATTTCCAACAAACTGCACACATACATCATCAACACCTGTCACCTACGCTCACTCGATACTGAAGATGTGGGGATGAGATGTCGAAAATAAAAGAATATGGAAGAAGGGTCTCTGACTGACTGACTGGCTGGCTGGCAGGTTGGCAACCAACCAACCAACCAATAAGCTATCGCCCACACATATGTGGTAGAAGAAAGTGGAGATCGACTGGAGTGGATTGTATTGTATTGGACATACACTGAGAAGTATTCCTCTACTTCAATGAGTGATGTCATCCCCACTCAGATTCGAACCCAAATACCCATTGCTTCAAACGCGAAAGCATTGTTCACGGGGCATGAAGGTCACCTCTTGTGAGAAGGGTATCAGTTATTCTTAGTTATCGGTGCTTGTAATTTCCTGTTAGTATACTGGGCCAAATTGCTCGACCTTAATCAAGTTTGCTAATTCCTTTTGTTTTTGGAAACTAAGGAAGCTAATTGGTGATTTCGGCCTTTTTTGTGGTGTCCTTTTAAGCCACTTCGTTGTAGTTAACGCGTGAGATTACCAATTCGCTTTATCGATTTTATGAAAAACTACCTTTCCATCAGAAATATAGAAACTTAATTGGTGATACCATACAAAGGCCAGGTTTCGTGTTGTCACCACGTGAGTAACGCAGAAGTCAGGTGTAGAATTTTTGGGGAGAAGAGGTAAATCAGTTGACATGCTTGTAAACTTTCAGCGATTGAGATGGCCGGAACATGTATAACGTATGTCTAGTAGTCGTCTATCTCGTCACACCATGTTGATTGAAGTAGATTCAGACTGGAAAAAGGCTGGGAGCGATCAGACTAGAACATGGCATCAATGTATGAAGTCTTTGACTGTTGGTTTGAGCCATGTTGGGCGATGCAGACTAGGCGGTTAGTGTCGGCAGTTCAACATGAACCAATAGTTGTATACTCAGTGATATAGCGCAAATGTATATACACATTATTCTCATCTAACCTATATACTTAGTCTCATCCTTAATTCCTGTCTTTAAGTACTTCCTATTTCTGCTTAGTTGAATTGTTTCTTCTTTTCTTCTTGTCTTTCATTTTATGGCCTTGTTACTTGTTGTGCTGAAATAAGGTGAGGCAACTTTGACTGTTACGCAGCAATGTCTGCTCCTATGTTCATATTGGTGATTATGGTCATGGTAACGCGATATCTGACTGTAGGTTGTGATATATCGCGACGAAAGCTCTTACGACATTTAAACTTCCGAACAAATTCCGATAAACCTAAGAGTGATGGTTATTATGGTGTAGTACTGTCTTACACTTTATGATTTTTTTATTATTTGTCTTTTGCATCGACAGGCAAACATAGGGCTTCAGTAGCACCTCAACATTTCACTCTCTTCTCTCCAGTCTTCTCAACCTGCCTCCACAACTGACCACAACCTTTCATTTCCTCCTAACACCATCTACACCATGTCACCCTGACACACCCAACTCGTCCTTTCCTATTTGGGTGCCACTCAAGGGTCGCGTGTGGCACTTGATCTCCCAAAACCGACTTCTAAGTGTATGTCCAATACAATACAATCCACTCCAGTCGATCTCCACTTTCTTCTACCACATATGTGTTGGGCGATAGCTTATTGGTTGGTTGGTTGGTTGCCAACCTGCCAGCCAGCCAGTCAGTCAGTCAGAGACCCTTCTTCCATATTCTTTTATTTTCGACATCTCATCCCCACATCTTCAGTATCGAGTGAGCGTAGGTGACAGGTGTTGATGATGTATGTGTGCAGTTTGTTGGAAATGCTTTTCGTAAGGCGTCAAGTCTGTCAAGCATATAGTATAGAAAGAAGCACTGACTTGACTGAGATTAGTGTTGAATATTGGGATGTTGTTGACGCTTTATGCTGAGTGGAGTGTAGTGGAGTGGAGGCGAGTAGATCTGCACAGTGATTATTTGAGATTAATGAAGGCCTGTGTTGGTGTGTTTCCGATGGTGGCATTGACATCGTGATGTGTTCGTGTGCCTGTGTCGCCGCCACCGCCACTGCCGCTGCCTGTAGTTGAGACGATACTGAGTTGTCTAGGTAACCAGGTGGAAGAGACAACTTCTTTCTCATTTCTCCCGTTGATGGTGATTGGTGCTTGTTGTCGGTTGGTTGGTTGGTCAGTTGGTTGGTTGATTGGTTGGCTATCCTCATCACCTGTGTCTTCTCTACCTTCACCTGAAGGAAATCTCGTCTTCCTTCTCTCACCTCACCTCACCTCACCTCGTCTTGTCTCGTCTCTTCTGCTTACTTGTTAGTTTTCACCTGTTGATCTTCGAGTTTGTGCAACAAGACATTAGACATAAATAATCATGATGGATGAAATCGAAATCTACTTGTTGGGTCGTTTCATTGTTGCAGACAGTGTATACCCCACTACTCGCTCGTCACAGTTTGTTGCATGATCCAGTGTAGTGCAGTCTGGTTGACCACAATCAGGAAGATGATGTATGATGATAGTAGGTGGTAGCCTTGTCTTACCCCTGTCTGGTTTTCATTTCCACTTTAAAGGCATCAGTGAGCTGTTATTGTGAATCAGTTGATATGTAGTATCATGTGGGATATAGGTGCTGTTGAATGATGTTGATAAAGTTTTGTGGCACTAAAACCGTAGTATTTATGTAGCTGTTATCGAATGCCTTTTGAAACTCAATGAAGTAGATGTTTAGTTATGACTTCGTTTTTATGCTCTGTTCTATGATATGGTTTGTGAAGGTAGCCCTTCTTCTAGTTGGGTGGTACTTTTTGTTCCTTCGGAAGTTTCTACAGTTGTGGTGTGAGCATGTCCTCTGTTGTTTCTGCGTCTGTTTTCATTACTTCTGGAGGAATTCCCTGTGGTCCTTCTGCTTTTCTGGATTTCAGAAACTTAATGGCTTTCTGGACTTCTGCTTTTTTAGGGGGCTTGTGTTCGCTGGTACTTCTGCGGTTACTGGTGGTATTTCTAAACGAGTTGCATGTGATGTCGGTGGTCGTTTCAAGAGTTTTTCTACGGTCTTGCACTTAAACACATGGTTTTTGGTATCCACTGTTTCACTATTCTATTCATGATAATTTCTCTACGTATAGGGATTGGTTAATTGAAATTGTTTGATTCTCAGTGGCTGCCAATGAGATCGAGAATTTGAGTTCCATCCTATTAAGGATTCGTTAGTTGGGGATGTGTATGCATTTCACTGAGACTCGAGTGAAGCTATTATTTCATGTTTCACTTATTTGGTTGTCTGCAACACGTAGTTATTCATGAGAGTGCTTGTTTACTTCGGATTTTCTGGCTTAACGTTTAGGGTCACTTCTTCGTCTTGTAACTTAGGTTTGCGTTTTGTTTAGCTGTACTTCCTTTTCTATTGTCATTACTTCAGTCATCCATCTGTCTGTTAAAGCCCATAATTCTCATTGTTCAACTATGCTTGTCTTTTTTTGTTATTGTGTAAATTTTTATAGGGATTTTATTTTTAAGGTAGAGCATTCATCACAGACTGATATCAGTTGATGATACGTTGAAAGCCGTGGAAGTACTGGAGTGCTGTTTCATGCAACACTACGCATCCTCAGCACCATCACGGATCTTCAAGTCTTGTGGCGAATGCGTCAACTATTCGACTGCTTGGTTAGAGTTCACTGGTTTTGCAGTTTCCTACTTCGTAGGTGCGTACTGTTGAGGAGTCCTATACTGGGACGGAATAGCTGTCCAGTTCTCCCAGGTTTTCGGGGCTGGGGTCTTCAACTGATGTCAGTCGTGATTCTTTACTTTTCAATGCTAATCTACCTGGTAAAACTTTTTATCTAGATGGAATTAATCTGTGAAAATATTCAAGAAGCAAATCTACGCCTTACTTTATCCTTCGGTATTGGATTACATCATGCTGGTTTACAAAATAAGGATAGATCATTAGTTGAAGAGTTGTTTGCAAATCAAAAAATTCAAGTAAGTATTCATAATTTAGATTTTTTATTTGGTTTCATATGTATCTATGTGTTAGTGTCAACCTGTCAGTGCTCATTAAAACGATATAAGTCACATAAGCCAGTAGAATGCGTACTTACTCAATACACTGTAGTGCATTCTACTTGCCACTATTATATTTATATACCAACTGTATTTTCCAGATGATGAACATGGTCTCATACTTTCCTTTGGTATTCACAAACTCATGAATCTTTTTCACCAACTATCTATTAAGCATTGCAGTGATTACTGGTGGTGTTTAATTTGCTATGAAATATACGCTTAAAACTATATGATCGCTGGTTTGATAATTGATGCTCAGGAACAGATGAGTTTGTAGGGATACTCTTTGTAGTACTACTACGTAACGCTTGACTAACCCTACTCAACTCTATTTGGTCTAGCATCTGCTTAATCTGTACCTTACCTAACGTGTAAGTACTGATAACGAAACGCATATCGAAAAGACTTGTATTCAGGATTATATTCGAAGTAGTAATATATTTAATTAGAATAAATATGGTAATAATTATTCAGGGTAAAGTTCATCCAACTTATCTAGCTAATATGGCTGAACTTAAGGACTCCGAAGATGTGCATGTGCATGACTGAAGCCCAAAATGGCGTCGAAGCCTACTCGAATGCAGGTTAGTTAAAACAAAACTTAAGACATCTTAATTATCTGAAGGTAAGCTAAAAATTTATTTAGTTAATTCAGTAAAATCTATTTATTTTATAATAAATTGGTTGGTTGTGGCTAGCAGAAGAATCCAGGATGCGCGTTTCGTCCTATTTGGTACTCGTCAGCTGGATGTACTATTTATTTTAGCTCTAGTTGAATTTTGGTGCTAGGAAGGTGTGTAAATTTGGGGTTACCAAGTAGCTCATATAAATGTGTTACTTTTTGAGGAACAGACTATAGAATGCTATTGTACCCAAAAACTGTCGCAGTTTCCTCTTGGAATTTGGCACTGGAATAGCTCTAACCGTCAGAATTTTCTCAGGTAGTGGTTTTATTTAACCGTTTCCAACTTTATGTCCTATTAATGTATCACTCTTCTTGGCTACCTGAGATTTTGTCTGATTGATACGAAGTCCAAACTCATCTATACGTCTCAGAACAGCTTCCATGTGTTCCATATGTTCTACTTCCGTCTGACTGTACACCACCAGGTCATCACCATACGCTCTATGTTCTCTAAATTCTTCAGCCACAACATCAACCGTCTAGATGTAAATGGCGTTCATAAAAGACCAAATGGCATTCACTTGAATAGGTATTGCTTCTTGCCCACAATAAATGCTGCTTTCTCTTTATCGCCTTCTTTTATTGGTAGATGCCAGTAGCCTGAGCGGAGGTCTAGAACTGTAAATACTTTTGCATTCTGCAAACGATCCAGTGTTTCAGCTACCGTCGGCATGGCACACGGCTTCAGTTGCGTTACGCTATGCGTGCCCTTAGCGCACATGGTCTTATGTTCTGAGACTGATGCTTATCTATCAGCGAGACTGCTGGCGCCGTATCTATTAGATACACGATCTCCTGATCATTTATTTGGATTCTAACACACACAGCACGTCGATCTATGGCTCCTACAATATCTAGTCTAGTCGGAAAAACAGAACTCATATCGTTCTAAACGTTTTCTTTTTCACCTCTCCAGACAGTTTCTTCACCAGAGTCCTAGTTTTCCGCATACAAAGCATTTACTCTGTCTGTTGATATTCATTCGAAGTGCAACCACCTCCTCCTGAAGGTTATCGATTTGTTTTTTCCAGTTATTTACCTCTGGTGACTCCACTGCAGCTACTGCTGTACACATCAGCTGTCTGGTCACCTTGGCCATCTCACTGATATCCATTGGTTGAACCGCGTTGACTAGTCGTAGCTGCTAGGGGATGGCATTCGGGACGCTTTCGGCAAACTGTGCAGCCAACGACTGCTCCTAGGAGTCCTCATTCAACGTGGGAAGTTCTTGTCGAAGTAGTTTATTCAACTTCATTGCCCAATGCCAGAGGACCATCTTCTATTCCAAGTTTTGTGCTCCGGAACTGCTGCATAGCCAGCTGCCTGACCACTGGGCTGTCAAACTCCGCCTCCAGTCGTTCAACCATTCTCTGCCGTCTCCTTCCCATCTCCGCGTTCTGCGCCGTCATACGCTGCCTTCGTTCTACCCATCAGCAACGTGCCAAGCACCACGACCTTCGCTTCTCGATCCCAGACACCCATCAGCTCGGCGACCGATTCGAAGCCCCTAAGAAAGACCTTGATGTCTCCATCCTGGAACACTGCAGGCTACAAAGTCTTTGTCATCCAGAAGCAGCGATACTAATTGAAAGAAACGAGAAGACCAAAACGAAGGAAGGAATGTTTATTGTTAACAAGTGGTACAGAAGTCATAAAATACGGCATACCTTGCACTAAAACCGTCATTTGCAAAATACGCTTCGTTTCCTCTTCTGCTTCTTTATTTATTTGCTCTTCATACGCCTGCCATGTCTCCTGCGTTCCTCTTGGTGGAATCCTTATCCATTGCTGGTAATTCCCAATGATTTCTGCCACCCTCTCAATATTATTATTATTATTATTATTATTATTATTATTATTATTATTATTATTATTATTATTATTATTATTATTATTATTATTATTGGTCCCTTGGGTTCCTAGTGGGACATAGGGCTTCAGTAGCACGTCTCCATTCCACTCTGTTCTCTGAAATCTTTTGAACCTGGTTCCACGACAGCCCACAAGCTCTCATTTCCTCCTCGCACGATCTCCTCCATGTCACCCTCAGCTGGGACGCCCAACTCGTCGCTTCCCATCTGGGTTCCATTCGAGCAACTGGCCTGACGCGTGATGTCTCCAGTCGGCCTTCTCAGTGTATGCCCAATCCATCTCCACTTCTTTCCAATGCATATTTGTTGACTGATAGATTCTTGGTTGGTTCGTTACCAGCCAGCCAGAGTTCCTTGTTGCTTATTCTCCCTGACCATCTGAGCTTCAGTATCGAGTCAGCGTAGGCAGTCGTTGATGAATGCCTGTAGTTTATTGGAAATCCCTTTGGTAACGCGCCAAGTCTCTGAACCATACATAAGCACTGACTTGACTGAATTGGTGTTGAAAATCCGAATCTTGTTCTACATGCTGAGCGCAGATCTCCACACTGATCTCAGGCTAATAAACGCGTCTTGCTGCCTTTCCGATCTTGACTGGCGTTGACATCCTTGTGTGTGCCGCCTGTAGTTGAAACAGTGCTGCCCAGATAGGTGAAGGTTACTTCCTTTAAGTTTCTCCTGTTGATGGTGATTGGTTTTGTTGTTGGAGTTGTTGTTGTGGTATCGTCATCACCTCTGTCTTCTCTATATTCACTTGAAGTCCCGTCTTCGCTGCCCTGCCTCTTCTGTCAACTTGTTAGTTTTTGCCTGTAGATCATCAAGTTTGTGTTACATTGGACACAAGTCGTCGGCGAAATCCAGATCTTCTAAGTTCTTTTCCGCAGTCCAGCGTATCCTCCTCTTCTCTCTCCCCACTATTTGCTGCATGATCCAGTCCAGTCGACCATGATCAGGAATATCATGGGGGATAGTAGGCAACCTTGTTTTACTCCTGTCTTCACTTCACTTCGAAGGCATCACTGAGCTTCCGACTGTGAATTACTTGGCTGGCATGTGACGTCTTCATATAGTTGTTAAATGAGGCTGATAAAGGTTTGTGGCATTCCGTAGTATTGAAGCAGTTTCCGAATTACATCTTGGTTGACGCTGTCAAAGGCCTTCTCAAAGTCGATGAAGTTGAGGTAGAGAGCTGATTGCCATTCTATGCTCTGTTCTATGATAATGCGAAGCGTTGCAATTTGGTCTGCACATGATTTGTACTTCCTGAATTCAGCTTGTTCCGGTCGAAGTTTTAAATCCAGAGCATCCTTTAGCCTCTCCAGGATGATGCGGCTTAATATTTTGCTTGCTCTGAGGTCTCCCTTCTTCGGGGGTTTGACAAGGTAACCATTCTTCCAATCAATCGCCAGGTACCTTCTCTTCCTTCCACACCCTCTGCTATAGTGGTGTGGTGTAGTGTGACCATGTCCGCGGTTGTCTCTGCGTCTATTTTCAGTGCTTCTGGCGGGATCCCATCTGGTCTTGCTGCATTCCCACATTTCAGTAGCTTCATGGCGTGGCGTTCAGGACTGCCATTTTTGTTGGAGGATTTATGTTCACTTGTAGTTCAGCGGCTGGGCTGTAGGTGGTATTTCTGGACGAAGCTCAGGTGGTGGTGGTGGTGGCGGTGGTCGATTCAAGAGCTTCTTGATGCGGTCGGCCCGTTGTACCTTTGTTTCTCTCCTCTGGTAATTAAATTTCCGTCATCGTATCTTATTGGTTTCGTCTGCGTTGATCTCTCCCATCGCAGATAGCAGTAACCTGGTTACTTGATACAATGTTGTCAGGTCTGTGTCTATCTTATCTGCAGCCTGTTTTGCTTCACTTGCCAGTGTTTCGTAGAAGTGTCTTTTGTCTTTTCGTGCACTCTTCTTCACTTCTTTGCCTGGTGTAGTGTTTTATACATTTTACTCAGGTCATACTCAATTCCTCTTCTCCATTGTTCATCCCTACATTACACTGGTTTATCTTCTGATTCACCATCCTCCTCTCCATCCTCCATCAGCTTCCATGTATCCGTCGAGATCCATCCCTTGTCTTCTTTCTTCTTCCTTCCTAATACGGCTGTGCAGATTTCTTTCCACATAGCTTTCAAAGACTTCCAGTGTTCTTCCACTCAGGTTTCTTCAGAGATCTTCCTCGATATCTCCCATTTTGTCTTGATGGCTGACTGACGTGAAGATTTCCTTTGTAGTTTCATCCTTCAGTTTCTGTTGAGTGTTGTACTTGAACTGCGGTCTATCACCAGCTTCTTTGAAGGCTTTTAACTTGATTTGGAAGGAAGGTTCCTTGCACTCGATAGCGAGTGGTCTGAACCTACATCTGCTCCTCTTCTTGACCTTGTGTCAAGTAGACTGAGTCTCCACTTTCTTCACATTGAGATAAAGTCGATCTAATTTCTAGTGTGTCCTGTTGTCTGGTGAAATCCATGTCGCTGGCTCTGTGGATATCCTTGTGATTGAACACACTGATCCACTCGAATCACCAAATCGTTGAATGCACAGAATTCTGCAAACAATTCTCCATTCTCGTTCATCACCTCACTGAGCACTTCTCCACCCATGGTTAGTTCTCTTCCTGTGTTGTCCCCTCCCAGTTTGGCATTCATGTCACCTCACCCATTGGAATTTTGATGTCGCTAACTGCGGCAAGGTCTTGTCCAGTGTTGATTGGAGTTGTCTGTAGAATTCCTCCTTTTTCTCTTGCTCTGCATTATTTGTAGGTGCATAGTGTAGCATTGTATGAATGTGACCTTCCTTCCTTTTGAGTTGTATCTTGCTGTCATGATCCTGATCGTTGAGGAAATTGGTTCATACTGCATGAGAGAGAGCCTTCGATGCTTTTGGGGACATCATGATAGCCACTCCATAACTCAATGTGATCGTGGTTGTTATCTGGTTGACAATATCGGAGTAGATTATTGATTCTCTAGTTGACAGTTTGGAGAATCCACTCCCATTCCATCTGCTTTCGCAAATCCCAAGCACTTCGATGTGATACCTCCTTATCTCGTTTGCAATCTGGGCTGCCTTGCTGGGTTCAAACATGGTGTGGACATTCCATATCCCCACTTTTACTTTTGCTTTCATCGAGAGAAGAGGAGACACATTGGCCAATTGGCTTCCCGAAGTCAGGCTTTCACCAACTGGCATCATTTTGCCTCTCTGATTCCAGCGAGGAACAATTTTGTTATGATTTTTTATATTTTGTTTGTTCTTTGAAGTTTGTTTAGCGGTTAGATTTGTTTTCCGGGGTAGGGTTGCTAACCGTATACTCAACCTTCCATGTTCGTTTGGACTTAGGACCGGCTAGTGAACTAGTTAACCAGGTGAGGTTACCCTCTCAATATATACTACTTATATGCATTCTTATCAACAACACCCACTACAGTTGCATTACACGTTGTTCACCGTTGTGTTTTCTTAGTTTCAACATAACTGAAGAACCATATGTGAACTGGTAATCGTTATATTTACTGATGAAAATGAGATTCTTGTATGAAACGATTTTTAAAAAAATTTATATTTATGCTCTTCTCATGTACTATGAAAACAGTGTTCATCGTATACACTAATTATAGATTGGTTGACGTTGTTGTGTTTTACTTAGTGCTTTCTAGTTGTATTGAAACAAGTGCGCATAGCCTATATTACATATACATCAGTACAAAAGGTACATGGACGATACTTTTTATTATCTGTTATTATCAATATGATTTGAATCACTTTGTTCAAATATTCAGTTACTGCCACTGAACAATTAGACTCATCCTTGAGGTTGAAAATCGATCGAAAATTCACTTTCTTGATGTAGAACTGATAAGAACAGCTGATAGAACGTTAACTGGGTCAATTCACCGAAAAATTAATATGGAATGGTCAACTGACAAACTTTAATAGCTGAGTCCCATTCGCACTAGATGAGTCTGTAGTCCGGATGTCTTAGAAGAGGAAATTTATGTTTTAAAGAACATTCTCAATGAGAATGGATTCCCACCACGCTTCAGAGACAAACACGTCAAGCTTAAACTTTGCAAAGGAAACCTTACCACCATTCTAAATGGGATACTATATGAATCTAAACTTCAAAGGTGATTCTGCCGCTGACATTATAAATAGGAGGATATCAACCGCTTTAAGTAGAGCATTCTTTGCATCAACCCTGAGACTAGTATCCTCTTGTCACCCAGCGATATCTAACAACTAAAAGGAGAAACTTTCTCATCTGACCACTTCTATGTCCATATATCAATTCAACTGCTCTTGTGGAGCCAGGCATGTAGGTTGTTCGATGCGACAATTATCCAAGAACAAGAATACTATCTTGCGTAGTTACAAAGAGGTAACAATGAAGCATTGAACACATGAGGAACACAAATAACCCTATCTCAATAACCTCCTCGTTTAAAGTCATCTGTAAAGTGAAAAGAAACCTCCCAAAGGCTGTATATTATCGTATTCTCTGCATCTCTGTATCTCTTACCATCCAAGCGGAGAAGCCTATACTGTGTACACGAAAGAAGATTGTTCAATCTCTTCTCCTTTCTTGTTCTTAGTTTTCATTCTTTGAAATCTCCTCTCTCCTCTTTTTTCTTTACGTCTTTCTGTTTCAATACTGTTCACTTCTCAATTTATTGCTACTCATTCTTGTTGTTATATTCTGCCTGATCACAATTCAGTTTCTAAACTTTTTATTCAAACTTATTTTGATTACTATTCACTACTCATCAGTTGGTTTGACATACCATTTCTAACTGTTGAATCCTTACAGTAGGAAAATGTATAAAGTTCACTATTCTACAGGCTTGAAGATGATATTGCTGAAAAAAGACTCTTCCCTGAAATACTTACTTGTTCTTCCTTCAAATCATTATGGATATTGTATTTTTAAGATGAATGGGGATTTTTTTTAATCTAGGAGTAGTATACATCATGGGCTGACATCAGTTGGGCAACCATTAGGAATCTGGGAGCACTGGACAGCTGTTTCATCCTAGTATGGGACTCCTTAGCAATACGCGCCCACAACCTGGCTAGGGGTGGAATTTAGGACCTTCAGGTTTCACGGAGAACGCGTTAACCATACATATATTACATGTATCGATTGTTTTTAAGTAACCAGTTTCATGTTATCTAGTCGTTAGTACTGACTAACTTGATTCTACTGATCGCTTTTACAAACTAAAATGCTCTTCAATATGCTCCAATGCTCTCCAGTATATCATAACTTATTCTTGGTTCTAATAACAAACTGGTAAACATCGATGTCTTTAGTATTGTGTGATATGAGTTTGAATTCCTTAGAGGAAATCAGTTCTCTTGTTAAATGTTAACAAGTACTTGATGTATGTACAGTGCTACTTACCAAACACTTAACAAGCTGATTATGAATTATTTATTATTTTTCCCTTGGGTTCCTAGTGAAACATAGAGATTCAGTAGCACGCCTCCATTGCACTCTGTCCTCTGCAGTCTTTCCAACTTGGCGCCACGACTGCCTACAAGTTTTCATTTCTTACTCACATGATCTCCTCCATGTCACCCTCAGCTGCGACACCCAACTCGTGGTTTCCCTTTGGGATTCCGCTCGAGGACCTGTCCTGGTGCGTGATGTCCACAATCGACGTTCTCAGTGTATGTTCAATCCAATCGATCTCGACTTTCTTCTGCATATTTGTTCAGAGATAGTTTCTTTATTGGTTTTTTTCACAGAGTTCTTTGTTGCTTATTCTTTCTGGCCATCTGATCTTCTGTATGGAGTGAGCGTAGGCAGCTGTTGATGAATGTCTGTAATTTGTTGGAAATGCTTTGCGTAAGGCACCAAGTTTCTGAACCATATAGCATCAGTGACTTGACATTGGTGTTGAAATCCGGATCTTGTTCTTTGTGCTGAGCGCAGTAGATCTCCACACTGATTTCAAATTAATAATGGCTTGTCTTGCTTTTCCTATTCCGGTTTTGACATCCTCGTCTATGTCGTCGCCTGTAGTTGAAATGATGCTGCCTAGGTTTCTCACGTTAATGGTGATTGGTGCTTGTCGTCTTCATCACCTGCATCTTCTCTACGTTTACTTGAAGTCCCGTTTTCTCTGCCTCTTCTGTCAATTTGTTAGTTTTCTCCTGTAGATCTTCGAGTTTGGGGAACAAGACATTAGACATAAATGATCATCGGTGAAATCTAAATCTTCTTCTGGGGTCAGTTGATGGTTCCAGCCAGCGTATGCCCCCCTTCTCACTCCTCACAGTTTGTTGCATGATAGAGTGTAGTCCAGTCCAGTCGACTACAATCAAGAAGAACATCGGTGATAGTAGACAGCCTTGTCTTACTCCTGTCTTTACTTTAAACGCGTCACTTAGCTTTCCATTGTGAATCACTTGGTGTGTGGCGTCTTCGTATAGTTGTTGAATGAGGTTGATAAAGACTAATGGCACTCCATAGTGTTGGAGCAATTGCCAAATCATTTGTTGGTCCACGCTGTCAAAGGCGTCTTCAAAGTCGATGAAGTTGACGTAGAGAGTTGACTGCCATCGATTATGAGAAGTTAACAAATTCTTTTACATACTGTTGATATATTAAGTGTATGAATCTTGACTTTGTTCCTTTTATCTTTCTTTCTTTCTTTGGATCGAAAGATTTTAATCGCTACTTCAACATTAGCTTGGGGTGTAAACTTTCCAGCGCATTTAGTTATCGTCAAAGGTACTGAATATTATGATGGCAAAACAAAAACTTATGTGGATTATCCAATTACTGGTAATTTAGTCATTATTATTTATAAATACTGAACCTTTGTATTTTTGTTTAAATTCATCATTTTAATCTCTATATGAATAGTATTTTGTTTAAATGTAATCTAAAGTGATGTTTAAACCTATTTCAATATTATTATTATTATTATTTTCATTGTTTGAATAGAACTTTAACTTTTTAACAATAAGTCCAGAATTCATGCCACGTCTCACTTATTTTGGTCTATACAATTAAACAGTAGTATCATAACACTGAAATATGAAGTTTGACTTGTAACCTACTACATAAACTTATACCGGTTTTCTGACTTGTATTAGTTTTGGTTATATTGTGTTCTCTCAGCTGGCTGGGTTGTTTAATCGTGAAGAAGCTTTCATCGTGTCTCTCTAGACAGTGACATCATCCACAGCACTAACTTCAGTATGAAGTGAGTGAGCTGTCAATATCTCTCCGTCAGTGATTTAGTAGTTTGCCTTGACGATTTGGTCTCTGATTGGTTGTTTCCTTCGATTGTTGTGTTATTGATTGTAAAGACTTTCCTGTTGACCTGTCGTTTATCACTTTTCTTATTGGTTGATAGATTGGGTCTATGTCTATTCATCTGTTGATTGCTGACTGACTGACTGGCCTGAATGGCGCCAAGCTTCTAGGAATTCTCTGACATTCTTTGTGTTTCCTCTCTCCATTCAAGATTTCTACATTGTTGAAATTGAATTCATGTCCATAGTTGCTATCCACATGCATTGAAATGAGTGATGAAATGTCGTGATACCCAATTGGTGCTCATGTAGACAAAGGCGAAGAAGGAGGCCACTTTGTCCAATGTGTAGTGTTGACTACAGTTATTGGAGTCGATTTTGTAAATGATATTCGGTTTGTCTTTCTTGGCTGTTGCCGGAAACTGGAAACCTGGTTCGAATTACTCTTAATCTATTTTAGAATTACTTGGATTTCGCCGATGACTTGTGCCTGATGTCACATAAACTTGAAGATCTACAGGCGAAAACTAACAAGTTGGCAGAAGAGGCAGGGCAGCGAAGACGGGACTTCAAGTGAATATAGAGAAGACAGAGGTGATGAAGATACTACACCAACAACAACTCCAACAACAACAAACTCCAATCACCATCAATGGGAGAAACTTAAAGGAAGTAACCTCCTTCACCTATCTAGGAAGCACTGTTTCAACTACACGTGGCGGCACACACGAGGATGTCCAAGTCAGAATCGGAAAAGCAAGACAGGCGTTCATCTACCTGAAAACAGTGTGGAGATCTTCTGCACTCCACTCAGCATAAAGCGTGAACAACATCCGGATTTTCAACACCAATCCAGTCAAGTCAGTGCTCTTGTATGGCTCAGAGACTTGGCGGTGCGTCACGAAAGGGATTTCCAATAAACTACAGACATTCATCAACAACTGCCCACGCTGGCTGGCTACTGAAGATCAGATGGATTGCCAGAAAGAATAAGCAACAAGGAGCTCTGGGAACGAACCAATCAAGAACCTATCACCCAACAAATATGCATTGGAAAGAAGTGGAGATGGATTGGGCATACACTGAGAAGGCCGACTGGAGACATCACGCATCAGGCCAGGGTGTCAAGTGGAACCCAGATGGAAAGCGACGAGTTGGGTGTCCCTGTTGAGGGTGACATGGAGGAGATCGTGTGAGGAGGAAATGCGAGCTTCTGAGCTGTCGTGGAACCAGGTTCAAAAGATCTCAGAGAACAGAGTTCACTGGAGACGTGCTACTGAAGCCCTATGTTCCACTAGGAACCCAAGGGACTAATAATAATATTTTAGAATTAGTTTATTTTTTTTCAAAAAAATGCAAGTAAGTAGAAACAAGAAAGAATTTGAAAACTAACTAAAAGTTAGCGAAAAAATATTCAAGCTTTCAAAAAATCCTCGACAAAATAACAAGACGTAAGCTCTCTGAACAGTATACTGCAGTTGTGCAACACATTTCAAACTATCTGATCACACATATACCTGTTATAGGTCCCAACACATTTTGTAAATAGGTGGAAAGGAAATAGCTACGTCAATCCTGTGACTTGTCTCACTTATATGTTTCATGAGCGACAAACTTAGATGTACACAACCAACTTTTATGGGCTCAGGTGATTTCATTGTTTCTGAAGCCACTTTGGAATATGATCCGAGGCTCTTACTTGTATGAATTTATGAATCCTTCCTATGTATGTGTCACTACACGTACATTTGAATTGGTAGATGCGATGGGATATGACATTGTCGGTCACATGCTATGGGGTTTTGGGAGAGTATACGGGCTTGGTAGTTTCTATTAATCGAACTCTGGTTGCATAGTAAGTCTTTCTAACAACAGCGTTAAGTCTGTGTTTAAAGATTGCACTATAAGAGTCACTTTTGTACGGAAGACTGATAAAGTCATCCTTATTTAGGATAAACTGAAGATCTGGTTTTGGCACTGTGGCTACTGTGTGCTGGCTAGTAACAGTATTTCAGTCAGTTTTTGTCTTCTAAAGTGTCATCTGTGCATATTCGTATGTTCATTTCCGTCAGGTTGATGGCGTTGGCATGGGAGGTGCTTTAGACCCCCGCTCAATTAGCATATTTATCTCACACATAGAAAACTTGGCTGAGAACCTAATTGACGAAGCCCATTTGTATTGAAGATATGTCTACTATACCTTTCTGAATATTTGTGATAACTCAAGCTAGTTCACTTCGATTCCAAACTGATTGAACGAAGTACAGAACAGCGTATCCTTGACATGTGTAAAAAAAGACTCCTTGGCATTCTTGGACATATTATTCAGCTGGTGGCAGGATGGATCCATAAAACGATCTATCTACAAAAAACTAGATGGACAGGGTAATATTTAAACCATTATAGCTTTTGTCCAGTTCAGTACAAGCAAGCGTTAGTTGAATGCTTATTTAGTAGAATTCAACCAATATGCTGGATTATTAAGGTCTCACCTTGTGCCAAGGTGGCAAATATACACACCTTTTGAAATGTCTTACTTCACTTTACAAACGAAATTGAATCAAGACTATTGTGGGGTATAGTGACTAGGTTCAAACATGGTGCGGAAATTCCATGTCCCCACGTTTACTTTCGCTTTCATCGAGAGAAGAGAAGACACATCGACCAATTGGCTTCCCGAAGGCTTTCACCAACTGGCGTCATTTCGCCTCTCCGGTGTAGGGTTGCTAGCCGTATGCCCAACCTTCCCTGTTTGTTTGGGCTTAGGACCAGCCAGTAACTAGTGAACTAGTTAACCAGGCGAGGTTATAGTGACTAGAGCTAACCAAATGCTCAAAACTCGAGCTGTTGATGTCAATCCAGCGATACAAGCCTGATGTTTGCCTTGGTCGTAATCTCCCTGAGATAGTTTATTCTATCCTTCGCTTATTTGTTATAAGTCTATCAGCAGTTTTTGCTGCCCTTGAGTTGATCTTCTAGCAGCTATCACCTTATGGCTTCAGAATCCAGCGTTTAAAAATAATAATATTGATTGGATGATCGATCGTATGTCAGTCTAACTGTAGACATGATTGACATAAAGAACATTTTGATTGATCTATTTCTGAACTCTTTTTTTCTCTATCTCCTTATCACCTTCCCTATTTGGAGAAATGTTACTTGGAAGTTGATCTGTAACCGCACTCTTTTTCCTACACCTATATGATCGACCTGAAGGGAGTTTCTGTTTGCTCACCGGAAGGTCAACAGGTTTCTTGATGTTCTTCTCACCTAGTATCTAGGGTAAACGTGTTGCTTCGGGTGTTCTTCTCGGGACACACGCGCCATCGTAGTTGGTTCTAGTGTCAAGTTTAGGTCTACGATTCAACTGTGACATCGTACGTCATGATGCCAAGTCTCCTAACAATCGGTCGTTTTGATCCACTTGTTGTGTCCCATTCTGTTGTGTTTGTCGAACACTGGTATCCGAATTTCGGGGCAATTTGTAAATTAGCTGCAGGTAACTCAGGAGTCGAGGCGTCGTGTATTGTTCACGGCTTCCTCCCTGGGGACCCCTGTAAGGCACTGTATACAGTCAGAAAGTTCATGAACTGGTGTCACATCTTGGTTTGGTCACGCCGACGCCTTTCACTTCCGTACTGCTACTTACTTATACATGAAGAAACGAGTGAAATACAATAAGCAGTAGGCAATAAGCCATTATTATTATTATTATTATTATTATTATTATTATTATTATTATTATTATTATTATTTGTCCCTTGGTTTCCTAGTAGAACACACAGCTTCAGTAGCACGTCTCCATTCCACTCTGTTCTCTGCAAACTTTTGAACCTGGCTCCACGACAGCCCAGAGGCTCTCACTTCTGCCTCACATGATCTCCTCCATATCACCCTCCCCTCAGACGACCAACTCACTGTTTCCCATCTCGGTTCCACTGGATGCCCTGACCAGGCGCGTGATGTCCTCGAATAGTCTTCTCAGTGTATGCCCATTCCAATCCATATCGACTTCCTTCCACTGCATATTTGTTGAGCGATAGCTTCTTGCTTCGTTGGTTGGTTGCCAGCCGGCCAGCCAGCCAGCCAGTCAGAGTTTCTTGTTGCTTATTCTTATTGGTCTGGCCATGTGATGTTGAGTAATGAGCCATCGTAGGCAGTTGTTGATGATGCGTGTCTGTAGTTTGTTGGAAATGCCTTTGGTAATGTGCGAAGTCTGTGGACGATACAGAAGCACTGACTTGACATTGGAGTTGAGAATCTGGATGTTGTTGAGGTTTTATGCTGAGTGGAGTGCAGTAGATCTTTACAGTGGTTTCATGTTAATGAAGGCGTGTCATGGTGTGTTTCGGATCGTGTCTGGCTTTGACGTCGTTGTCTGTGCTGTCGCCTGTAGTTGAAACAGTGCTGCCTAGTAGGGTGGGTGAAAGAGGCTACTTGGTTTAAGTTTCTCGTGTTTGTGGTGATTGGAGCTTGTTGTTGTTGTTGTTGGTGGTGGTGGTGGTGGTTTTGGTTGTGTATCTTCATCACATCCATCTTCTGTACGTTGAGTTGAAGCCGCATCTTCGCTGCTTTGCCTCTTGTGTCAAGTTGTTAGTTTTTGCCTGTAGATCTTTGAGTTTGTGTGACATTGGATACAAGTTGTCTGGGAAATCTACATCTTCTATGATGTTTTCCCCGGTGCATCCAGCATATCCCCTCCTTCTGGCTTCTCACAGTTTGCTGCGTGTAGTCCAAGCTAATGGTCTAATGTCAATCAATACTTTTTTTATTCAAATGAAGTGGGAACTTATAATTGTTGTTCTTCTCGAATTCAGTAATGCCATCTATTCTACCTTTAGTTTTTTAAGGAGAAGAAGAAGAAGTTTGTTTCGAATCTCCTACCTTCAGACTGGATTAGTTTGTAGATGAATATGTCAAATATTATGTTTGGATTAGGAGTTGACATCTGTGTAAAAGCCTAGTCATTTTGATAATTAATAGGTGTTGTGAATAATATTTTCATCTTTATGGTGGGATTCTTTAACATCTGTCAGTCTGTATTGATTTATTATTTGGTTAGAATGCAAAAATGCAATGATTTCACTTTACACCCTATCCATTAGCCGGTCCATGTGTGGCCATTATCAGTTGAATGAGACCAATCGAATATCTACTTGTTGATCTGAGCGATGTGAAAAGATGTACACTGTCTAGTGTTCTGAAGTCAAATATGACTATTTGTGATCTCTATTGCAGGTTTATTCAGTCTTCAAGAAAGGCGAGAAGTCCTATTGTGATAACCACAAATAAATCAGCCTGATGAATAGTGTTTGAGGTTCTAGGTTCCATCAGTAGTAGTTGGCGGCTGAGTAAAGTCTTGTAACGACGAATTCGGGAAAACCAGACAGATTTGAAACCTAATCTTGAGTGTATCGATCAGATATTCACTCTCCCTCAATTTCTGAGACATATGTAATTACCGACACCCAGTACTATCTATATTTCTCGATTTAAAGATATTCAACTCCGTCGGTCATCTCTTACTATTGGTCTGAGCTGAGTGGGGGGTGTGTGTGTAGATGTTTGGTTGGAATCGACGAGATGAAAGTAATCAATTGTTGAGGACTCTTGGAGATATCATGGCTAAAAGTCGGTGATACTGACGTCAATTTGTTAATTCCCTCGCTCTTGTTATATCCACCTGTTCTTTGTATACGACTGTGAATTATGGTAACTTGGAGTAATGTACTTGTGTGGCAGGTTCTAAGTTGATTTTGTCTGTCTTAGCTACGTATCAGCATTTCCTAGGAATATACTGTTCACTTTTATTTTTCTCTCCTCTCTTATATTTATCTAAGATGTCCTTCAAATGATGGGACGTGCTGGACGTCCACAATTTGATGATCAAGGCAAAGCTGTTATTATGGTACAAAATTCAAAGAAAACATTCTATAAACGATTTCTATATGAACCATTCCCTGTAGAAAGTTATTTACTTCATGTACTACCAGATCATTTGAATGCAGAAGTAGTGGCTGGAACAATTACAACTATGCAAGAAGCATTAGATTATCTAACATGGACTTTCTTTTTTCGACGTCTTTATTCAAATCCATGGTAAACTATCTTCATTTCTATTATTCTCTATATTTCATTACATTTTATATATGAATAAGGTGGATTTATGTTTGTAGATCTCTGGTTGGCCAACTAAATCGTTATCCGAATACATTTTTGCTGATAATTAGTGAGTACAGATATATCCTCTTGAAAATAGTGTCCCCAGTCGATTACTTCAGTCATTTTAATATTCATTATGTTAAGTTGATAATGAATTAAACTTATGTAACTTAATCTGTTATAATCAATCAATATCAACATAGGACCAGGCATTACTGCCTAACGGTCCGAGTTGCCACAGCTCATATCAGTTCATCTAGTAGAAAGGTAGTGAGGTGAATGATGAAGATATGAAAATTCAGTCAAAAGAAATATAAAGTACGGAAAGAGAGAAAGAAAGAATGAGAAAATAGTGAGGTTCAGTATAGTGTCGTTAAGATGAGGATAATGTGTGTGTATGTATACATTGGCGCCACTGACATCGGTTCTCAACCATGCCATCACCTACAGTCTCCAACCACTCACTGGTTTCTCTTGTCCCACTGACCACAACTGGCTAGTCTACACCGTTCCGCATGGCTCAAACCAACAGTCAGAAACTTCATACATTGTTGCCATGTTTTAGTCTGGTCACCTCGGGCCTTTTTCCAGCCTGGACCCACCTCAGCCAACATTGTGTGACGATGCGATCGGTGACTAGGCATACGTAGTACGTGTCCCAACCATCACAACCTCGTCAAATGACTTACCTCTTCTCCCCAAAACCCTACACCTGACTTCTGCATTACTCACGTGGTGACACCACAGAATATGGCGGCCTATACTATGAAGGCAACGGTGGTCAAACACCTGAAGCCTTTTTATATGTTCCACTTCCAGTGGCCATGTTTCACAGCCATAGAGTAGAACAGAGCGGACTGCTGTGCAGTACACGTGGCTTTTAATAGACGAACGGATATCACGGCGGCGCCATAGGTGGCGTAAATTGGCGGAAGTCAATAGATCCTTTTGTATCCGTTTAATCTATTACAGATTTCATTTATTAATTACTTTATAAGCCACACTTGCAGTATTCAAGGCTTATAGTGTAAGTCAGTTGCTTTAACCCTCAGTAGGTAGAGAGGAGTGTTTAAGCCAAAACGCCATGCAGCCGTAAGTGGTTTGATAAGTAGTATATCACTGAAGAAGACATTTCCGGACCAGTTATTCGCATTGTTCCTTATTTCCCTTTTTTATCTACTAACTCTGATAATATCTTGTGTTAACGGTAGACAAAAACACACATTATATGAATGATGGATAGTAGCAAGCAATAGGATCCAGGACGTGCATTTCGTCCTTTTTCGAACTGGGTAGATAGATGCACCTACCTCGCAGTGAGTGATCAATTCGATCCATTCAACAATGAGGTAATATAAGCAACAACATTAACACACATTATGCTTTTTGATAACTTGAACAGCACTGCATATCTCGCTTTCTATCTGCTGATTCGGTGTTCCCATAGTGTCACACTGCTTTGTAGATCATCTTTACGTGGCATTTCAGGATAGTACCCAACACCATGAGCTTCTGCTTTGGTTTCTTGACAAACCTACTAACTCTCTTGAATTCCTTCAAGGATATGTTATAGTCTTCACCCTGGAAGCCTGTAAACCAAGGTATCTTCATACAAAAACTATATAGCGACATCGAATGAAGTAGCGTAAATTGTTTGGTGAAGAATTACAATAAGCAATAACAAAAATACTACACCTTACAATAAAGCCACATTCCAGAACATTCTCTTGTGTGGCATCCAATTGCATAGTTTTCTCATAACATACATTTCTCATCGATATTATGTCTTCCGAATCTGTAACAATCGACTGTTATCACTTCTCTTGTATTTTCCGACTTTGCGTTATATACCAATGGTGTACATTCTAATCAACAGTGTTCAACACAACATTGATGGGACCCTGAAGGGTGAAAAGTCTATTTTGAATAGATCAAGTATGTAATTATTTATATCTTTATTAGAAAGGCATAGGAGTTTGTTTGTTTTGCTGGGATTGTGAGTTATTATCATTTATTTGTCCCTTGGATTCCTAGTGGAACACACAGCTTCAGTAGCACGTCTCCATTCCACTCTGTTCTCTGCAAACTTTTGAACCTGGCTCCACGACAGCCCAGAGGCTCACCCTTCTGCCTCACATGATATCCTCCATATCACCCCACCCACCCCTCGGACGACCAACTCGCTGTTTCCCATCTGGGTTCCACTGGACGCCCTGACCAGGTGCATGATGTCCTCGAATAGTCTTCTCAGTGTATGCCCATTCCAATCCATGTCGACTTCCTTCCACTGCATATTTGTTGAGCGATAGCTTCTTGCTTCGTTGGTTGGTTGCCAGCCGGCCAGCCAGAGTTTCTTGTTGCTCATTCTTATTGGTCTGGCCATGTGATGTTGAGTAATGAGCCATCGTAGGCAGTTGTTGATGATGCGTGTCTGTAGTTTGTTGGAAATGCCTTTGGTAATGTGCGAAGTCTGTGGACGATACAGAAGCACTGACTTGACATTGGAGTTGAGAATCTGGATGTTGTTGAGGTTTTATGCTGAGTGGAGTGCAGTAGATCTTTACAGTGGTTTCATGTTAATGAAGGCGTGTCATGGTGTGTTTCGGATCGTGTCTGGCTTTGACGTCTTCGTGTGTGCCTGTGCTGCCTGTAGTTGAAACAGTGCTGCCTAGTAGGGTGGGTGAAAGAGGCTACTTGGTTTAAGTTTCTCGTGTTTGTGGTGATTGGAGCTTGTTGTTGTTGTTGGTGGTGGTGGTGGTGGTTTTGGTTGTGTATCTTCATCACATCCATCTTCTGTACGTTGAGTTGAAGCCGCATCTTCGCTGCTTTGCCTCTTGTGTCAAGTTGTTAGTTTTTGCCTGTAGATCTTTGAGTTTGTGTGACATTGGATACAAGTTGTCTGGGAAATCTACATCTTCTATGATGTTTTCCCCGGTGCATCCAGCGTATTTCCTCCTTCTCGCTCCTCACTGTTTGCTGAATGATCTAGTCAACCACAATCAGGAATATTATGGGTGATAGTCGGCGGTCTTGTCTTGCTCCTTTCCCGTCTTCACTTCGAAGGCATCACTGAGCTTTCCATTGTGGATCGCTTGGCATGTGGCGTCTTCATGTAGCTGTTGAATGACGTTGATAAAGGTCTGTGGCAACTACCAAATTACTTCTCAGTTGACGCTGTTGAAGGTCTTTTCAAAGTTGATGAAGTTAAGGTAGAGTGTTGACTTCCACTGTATGCTCTGTTCTGTGATGGGAATTGTAAGTTATTGTTTCTTATTAACTCATAGAACAGTGTTGGTCGTATCCCATCAATTGTATATCTAGAATGTATAAATATAAAACTCTTTGTATCTACAATCCCGATGATTAAACTTGCATATACGAAGGATCATTTGCCTAGATATGGAAGTATTTTGTGATTGATGTACTTCATCAGTATTCCTATAGGTTTTCAGAGTTGACTTAAATGAGATGTTCACTATGAAAGCTTCACCGTTTTACTTAACACAAGCTATCTATAAGGTCAAAAACGTGGTACAACAATGGCATTTTTTATCAGCAGAAGATACAGCGGAGGTTACAGCATGGTCGCCACTGGTTTCGATTCTGAGCCGTACCTGATAACGTCTCAAGCCACTGAGAGGTGCGTGATCTCTTGGAACCCCACCCATAGAGCGGTGATGCATTAGCAGATGCTAATCCGGTACAAATATCCTTCATCCAGCGGTGACACGTCATACACTGACCACTCCTCTGCTTCTTCCATGCAGTTCCAGTGTTACCAAACAATGAATGGCATGGAAGCTGTTGGCGCAATATGCATAACATGTATCCACCATCAGGAACCACCTTTAGAACTGTCTCAAGAATGTTACCGATGGCAAGAAAAATACACTTAGCACCTACCAGTCACTATACTCATCAGAGCATAGTTTTCGAAGTAGCCTTTGATATAAATTTGAGAATCTGAAAGGACTGTACATCTGTTTCTTCCCAGCCTGTAACTTTCATCTGTGCATACTCGATAACCGGTAAATGGATCCAGCCTAGGATTATCAGCTCTTTTGTAACTGTGTTACCATTCAACCAGTAGGTTGGCATGCAATCCTTTCGTTCTCTTCACGTTTTGTGGACTCGCCAAGTAGCATGATTATCATCAATTATTGTCATCGATATTCAACGTAGTGTTTGAATGCTAAACGTTGTTCACCATGAAATCTGATTGCCTTGGGTTAGACTCTTGACTGGATCGTGGGTATATACTACTGAAAAGTCATAAACGAAGATAAAATAGTTTCCCGTGCTTTTAGATTTTCTCACTGGCCCTCTAACTCATGTCAATGCATAATGAAACACTAATTTGAAGAATATCAATCTCCATAAAAACCATTAATTGATTGAAGAGCTTGTTCATCAGGATGCCAAAGATGCTGGCGATCAATGATTAATAATGCTGTGATTCAAGGTTTATCTTCATTGAAATAATGTGAACATAAACATTGACATAGTTCCCGCCTTCAAATAATATCGTATTTGAATTTTGAAAGAGTTATTATTCATCGTAAACTGACACCAGTTGGAAGACCATTGGATTCTGACCTAGTGGCTCAATGGTAACGTGCCGGCAGCGGTACCTGAAGGTTGCGGGTTCGATCCCTGGAGCGCGGTGTCGTGGGTGTGCACTGCTGAGGAATCGCATGGTAGGACGAAACAGTCGTCCAGTGCTCCCAGGTTTCCTTTGTTCCTCCAACTGATGTCAGTCTACGATGAATAACAAGTTTCAGGTAGAGAAATTTTAAAAATTTTACAGTTGGACATCAGTTGGAGTAACACTGAAAATCTTGAAGCACTGGAAATCTATTTCATCCTAGTATGGTACATCTTAGCAACGCGCATGACATAGTAACCTCTATCTTGTGCCGTCTTCATCTTCAACTTGGTTTGCCTTACTGGTCATCAGAACTTTGGAAGTTCATGGGGAATTTATTGATTTCAGGTTAACATTCATTATGGACTAACATTAGTTGGAAGAAAATTGAAAACTTTGTAGCACAGGGTTTCGTCCTAGAATAGGTCTCCTCAGCAGTTGGCAGTCAAAACCTTTAGGTTCCATGACTAACACACTGCCATTGAGCTTACTGTATCAGAATCCAACCGTCTATATTCATGAGGTAGCGCCAAGAACGAATAACTTCATATTCCAGCCTATTATGTAACAGATTGTTACTTCCACAATGATAGTTTAGACACGTTGTTCAACATTCAATATTGTTCAATACTTGTAACGAATTTAATTAACTCTTTATTATAAAAATTTTTTCTTCTTTTTTTTTCTTCTTATTTATATGAAAACTAAATGAATAAATTATCATCATCAGTTATTATGGTTTAGAAGAATGTGAACAAAAATCTGTGAATAACTTTTTATCAGGAATAATTACAAGTGCTTGTCAACAATTGACTGATTCGTCATGTTTACAAAAAGATGAAATAAATGAACAGAGATTAATATCAACACCACTTGGACGTTTAGCTTCATATTATTATTTATCACATTTAACTATTAAATTATTCACGACCACAATTAGATCAACATCTAGTGTACATGATCTTTTAAAAGTACTATCAGTAAGTTTTCCAGTAGTATATTATTCCTATAACTAAGAAGATGATATAAGACTATTCGATTGTTACTCAAATAAACTCATTGTCTTATTTTATGTTTAGATGTTGTTGTATTTATGAAATTGAGGTGAGGGAGTGACTCAACCTATAAACGACAGTAATACAGTTTTTTATCTCTGTCAAAGAAACTATACTTTATATGGTTTGAAACTCTATCCGATATAGCGTAGGATCCTTAGTTCTAGCTCACCGCCCACCACTGCTTCCATTCCTACCTCACACAGTCTTCTCTATGTCACACTCGGACACCCAACTCATAGTTCCCCATTTCCGTTCCACTCGATGACCTGCCCTGCCCTGCCCCAGCCTGGCCTCGCCTGCTCTTGTCTGGAGTGTGATGTCCCAAAAACAGTCTTCTCATTCTATATACAATCCAATCCAATCCACTCAAATCAATCTCCACTTTATTCTAACGCATATTTCTTGCACAATACGTTCTCCGTTCCTTGACAGCCACAGTTCCTTCTTCCTTATTCCTATCATTCTCGACATCTCATCCCCATATCTTCAGTATCGAGTGAGCGTAGGTGACAGCTGTCGACGATGTATGTGTGCAGTTTGTTGGAAATGCTTTTCGTAAGGCGCCAAGTCTCTCAACCATATAGTATAGAAAGAAGCACTGATTTGACTGAGATTAGTGTTGAATATTGGGATGTTGTTGACGCTTTATGCTGAGTGGAGTAGATATCCACACTGATTATTTGAGATTAATGAAGGCCTGTGTTGGTGTGTTTCCGATGGTGGCATTGACATCGTGATGTGTTCGTGTGCCTGTGTAGCCGCCACCGCTGCCTGTATGTAGCTGAGATGATGTTGAGTTGTCTAGGTAACCAGGTGGAAGAGACAACTTCTTTCTCATTTCTCCCGTTGATGGTGATTAGTGCTTGTTGTTGATGCTGTTGTTGGTCTGGTATCTTCATCACCTGTGTCTTCTCTACGTTCACTTGAGGTCGTGTCTTCGTTGCCTCGCCTCTGCTGACAACTTGTTAGTTTTGGCCTATCGATCTTCAAGTTTTTGCGACGAGACATTGGACATAAATCATCATCGGTCGAATCTAAATCGTGGTTGTCCTCTGGGTTACCCAAAGTAGATTACCGACTTCCCAGTTAACAGTTTAGAAAGTTCCACTTCCATTCTATCTGCTCTCGCAGATTCCTAACACTTCTATACCATATCTTCTCATTTATTTCGCAATCTGGGTAGCCTTGCCAGCTTCAAACATCGTGCGGACATTTAATGTCTCTTTGCTTATTTTTGATTTCTTCGAAAATAGATACAGCGGCCAATAGACTTCTTGAAGGCTTTCACCAACCGACGTCATTTCATCTGCCCGACTCCAGCGATGATCAATTTTGTTTTTTATATTTAGTCTGTGCTTTGAAGTTTCGTTAGCGATTGGATTGATTTTCCGGGGTAGGGTCGTTACACCCTCTTTTTCCAGGCTAGTAAACTAGGCGAGGTTATCCACACATTAACTTCTAATTGTTATGTACATTATTCCACCTTGCGGTACTATTGTACTTGTTAGACGTCGTGCTCTTTGCGAATAGTCATATTATAAAGGTGCTTTTAGCAAATTTTCACGTTCTCGGATAGAATCGGTTACCCAGTAATATCTAATTTTGTGTGTTCACTGTGCTAACAATTGTTCAGGTCAAACAGGAGTTGACTAAGTTTTTTTTAAAAACTCGGAGGAACCGTTAAACTGACCTCCAGCCATTATCTCGTTACCTGATTCCCAATAGGATCCTGGATGGAAGGCTGAAATGAGATACGACCTCCAATACTTGTAAAAGTCGAGGAAGCTATAAATAGATTTACAAAAAGGAAGGGCAGCGGGGTCAGATGGACTGGTATTGAAAGTATGTAAAGACAGAAGTTGCCAATTTTCGATCAGGTTGACTGAATTGTTGGCTAGTGTATGAAGGTCAGATATATTTACTTGTGATCTCTATCACAGGTTTATTCAGTCTTCAAGAAAGGCGAGAAGTCCTGTTGTGATAACCACAAATAAATCAGCATGATGAATAGTGTTTGAGGTTCTGGGTTCCATCAGTAGTAGTTGGCGGCTGAGTAATGTCTTGTAACGACGAATCCGAGAAAACCAGACAGATTTGAAACCTAGTGGTGAGTGTATCGATCAGATATCCACTCTCCCCCAGTTTCTGAGATACATGCAATTATCGATCTCCAACACTATGTTAACCTTGTCTAGTTAACTAGTTCACTAGTTACTAGCTGGCCCTAAACCCGGATAAAGAGGGAAGGAACCAATCTAACTGCTAAAGAAACTTCAAATCACAAAAAAAAGTGCAAAAAATGAAAATAAACGTTTTCCTCGCTGGAATCGGAGAGGCGAAATGACACTGGTTGGTGAAAGCCCTTGGGAAGCCAATTGGCCGCTGTGTCTACTCTCGAAGAAATCAAAAGTTAGCAATATGAAATGTCCAAGATCTTATCGCTCTATAAATATGCAGAGGAAAGTGGAGATCGATTGGATTAAACATACACTGAGAAGACCATTCGGGGACATCACGCGCCAGACCCTCCAGTGGAGCCCTCATGGGAAACGATGTGTTATGCATCGGAGGCTAAGATGGAGGAGATTGTGTGAGGAATAAATGAAAGCGTGTGAGCAGTCATGAAGCCAGATTTAAAAGAGATTGGAGAGAAGAGAGTGAAATGGTGACGTGCAACTGTAGGCCTATATTCCACTAGAAAACCAAGGGATATGTAATACGAATAACAAAAGACACTATTTCTAGGACTAATGATATTCGACTCTGGCAATCGATGGCTAGTTGTAATGCTGGAGATGAAAGTAATCAATTGTTGAGGGCTCTTGGAGACATAATACTAAAAGTAGCTGATACTGACCTTCGTAAAGCTTGAGTATTTGCACAAACTGCAATCCTCAATTTGTGAATTCCTGCACACACCTTTGATATCACTCTTGTTACATCCACCTGTTCTTTGTTTTATTCTGTAAAATTTAGCATCTTGGAGTGATACACTTGTTTATGAGATTCTACATTGGCTTTGTCAGTCAATCCGTCAGTTATGTAATCTTATGTCTTTCTAACGCCTTTGAATATGCCATTTCTACTCAATTATCTTTTCTATTTTGCACGTTGTATTTTGATGTGATGGTGTAAAATGTGTCAAAGTGAACTGTCACGTAGTAATGCCAGGCCCTGGTCGATTGGGCTATATTTCCACTCCATTCAAAACTCATGGGTTGAAAACACTTGCATTTCAGTTACTAAGGTTATAATTTCTCAACATGAAATTAATATTTATTGAAGTACAAACACGCATATGTATATGGTATCATTTATTATTATTTGTCCCTTGGGTTTCTAGTGGAACACACAACTTCAGTAGCACGTCTCCATTCCACTCTGTTCTCTGCAAACTTTTGAACCTGGCTCAACGACAGCCCAGAGGCTCTCACTTCTTCCTCACATGATCTCCTCCATATCACCCCACCCCACCCCTCGGACGACCAACTCGCTGTTTCCCATCTGGGTTCCACTGGACGCCCTGACCAGGTGCATGATGTCCTCGAATAGTCTTCTCAGTGTATGCCCATTCCAATCCATGTCGACTTCCTTCCACTGCATATTTGTTGAGCGATAGCTTCTTGCTTCGTTGGTTGGTTGCCAGCCGGCCAGCCAGAGTTTCTTGTTGCTCATTCTTATTGGTCTGGCCATGTGATGTTGAGTAATGAGCCATCGTAGGCAGTTGTTGATGATGCGTGTCTGTAGTTTGTTGGAAATGCCTTTGGTAATGTGCGAAGTCTGTGGACGATACAGAAGCACTGACTTGACATTGGAGTTGAGAATCTGGATGTTGTTGAGGTTTTATGCTGAGTGGAGTGCAGTAGATCTTTACAGTGGTTTCATGTTAATGAAGGCGTGTCATGGTGTGTTTCGGATCGTGTCTGGCTTTGACGTCTTCGTGTGTGCCTGTGCTGCCTGTAGTTGAAACAGTGCTGCCTAGGTGGTGGGTGAAAGAGGCTACTTGGTTTAAGTTTCTCGTGTTGGTGGTGATTGGAGCTTGTTGTTGTTGTTGGTGGTGGTGGTGGTGTTGTTGGTTGGGTATCTTCATCACCTCTGTCTTCTGTACGTTGAGTTGAAGTCGCATCTTCGCTGCTTTGCCTTTTGTGTCAAGTTGTTAGTTTTTGCCTGTAGATCTTCAAGTTTGTGTGTGTATATGTTATAACAATGTAGAAATGTTTCTTATTAGATCGTATATTTGATGCAGTATGTAGTATTTAACGGATAACATTTCGATAAGAATTTAATGCTCTTATTCATTGCTGAAATTTTACTCTTATATTGATGAAACTTATGATCCTCCTGTTCGAATTCTAGTCAATAAATGAACACGACTTTGTATTTATCTTGTTAACTAACAGTGATGTTTGAAGCAATGGGTACTAATCAACCTGAAATTGAACGGAACGCGCATCGAGACATCCGGATAGAAACATTATTATTACTATTATTATTATTAGTATCAAAACAAAAAAAATACCCGACTTTTACAAATTATTTCTAAATATCTTTGTCTGTGAACTCCAATTCTAACAGACAGTTTGCGAAGATATCAGTTGAACATGTTAGGAAGCTATTTTTAAGAGAAGAATTTCATAGGATTATCAAGAAGTTAGCTAGTATCCTCACTGAAATCGAATAGAAAAATATTTCTCCGATACTATTTGTCATCATCATCATCTAGATCAACCTAGGACCAGGCATTACTGCGTAACGGTCCAACGTGTCACACCTCATATCAGTACATCAAGTAAACAAGGCAGTGAAGTGGAAGATGAAAATAAGAAAATTCAGTCAAAAGAAATATAAAGTACTAAAACAGACAAAGAAAGAATGAGAAAATGGTGAGATTCGGTATAGCCTCGTTAAGATGAGGATAATGTGTGTGTATGTATACATTGGCGCCACTGACATCGGTTCTCAGCCATGCCATCACCTACAGTCTCCAACCACTCACTAGTTTCTCTTGTCCCACCGACCACAACTGGATAGTCGACACCGTTCCACATGGCTCAAACCAACAGTCAAAGACTTCATACATCGATGCCATGTCTGGTCACCTTGGGACGTTTTCCAACCTGAACCTACTTCAACCAACATTGTGTGACGAGGCAATCGGTGATTAGGCATGTGTAACACATGTCCCAGGCAGCCATCTGAGTCCATGAAGGTTCACAACCATGTCAACTGATTTACCTCTTCTTCCTAAAACTCTACACCTGACCCTGACTTCTGAGTTACTCACATGGTGACACCACGGATTACGGTGGCCTATACTACGAAGGCAGCGATGGTCAAACACCTGAAGCCTTCTCTATTTGTAATGATCAAAATCATGTTTCTTCTATGTATGCTGGCTCGGGCGCGTATTTTTTATACCATACCCTTTATAAATTCTTTCATTTCAATATATTTTAGAGTGCACATGAATACTTTCTATTACCTGTCCGACATAATGAAGATGAAATGAATAAAGTATTGGCAAGTCAACTACCTTTACCAGCCATTGGTGCAATGGATTGTCCACATACAAAAACTCACTTGTTATTTCAAGCTCATTTTTCACGTATTGAAGAATTACCAATTGTTGATTATCGAACAGATACACGATCTGTACTAGATCAAGCTATAAGAATATTACAAGTAAGTAAAATAGTTTTATATATATATATATATATATATATATATATATATATATATATATATATGACAGGTGGAGCCAGCCAAGTCGAACATCAAGACAGATACTAAACGACTAAGTTGGATGGAGGTTGCGCTATATTGTTAACTGACAGAAGTAGGAAATATGGACCGTTGGATTCTGATCCACTGGGTCAGTAGTAACGTGCTAGCCGTGGAACCTGAAACTTCCGGTTTCGACTCCTGACGGGGTGGAATTATGGGTGTGCACTGCTGAAGAGTCCTATACTAAGACGAAACAGCTATCTAGTGCTCCCAGGTTTTCATTGTTCCTCCAATTAATATCAATCTATGATGAATACCAATCTGAAAGCAATAAATAAAATGCCCACAAATACCTCCTGATTGATAAATATACATTTATTCCTGATAAACATGACACTAGTCTGTCTCCTGTCAATTGTGGCTTTCAATCACTGATTAGATGGTGAAATATTGTCATTGGCAGTCGCATTATCTGCACAGATAACAGTTTATAGCCTAAGGTATTTTTGTTCACGTTGTTCAAAAGTAAATATTAGAATTAATTTATGATTCATAGGTTAATGTGTGTCGTTTTCATACAAGATTAGATGTGCGTAGTCGGTCGATATGAAACCCTGAACCTAGGTACTATATTTTTGGACAGTAATCAGCAAGGTACTATGATTTCAAGTTGGCATTCCTCATAGACGGAGTGCTACAAACCTTTATCAACGTCATTCAACAGCTATATGACGAAGCTATGTGCCAAGTGATTCACAATGGAAAGCTCAGTCATGCCATTCAAGTGAAGTGAAGACAGGATTAAAACAAGGTTGCCTACTATCACCGATGATCTTCCTGATCGTGGTAGACTGGATTATGCAACAAACTGTAGGGAGAGAGGAGAGGGACATACACTGGCTGGACCGACGAAAAACCCTAGGAGATTTAGATTCCACCGACGATGTTTTATGTCCAGTGTCTCGTCGCAAAAACTTGAAGATCGATAGGCCAAAACTAACAAGTTGTCAGCAGAGGCGAGGCAACGAAGACACGACCTCAAGTGAACGTAGAGAAGACACAGGTGATGAAGATACCAGACCAACAACAGCATCAACAACAAGCACTAATCACCATCAACGGGAGAAATGAAAAAGAAGTTGTCTCTTCCACCTGGTTACCTAGACAACTCAGCATCATCTCAACTACAGGCAGCGGCGGCGGTGGCGGCGGCACAGGGACACATCACGATGTCAATGCCACCATCGGAAACACACCAACACAGGCCTTCCTCAATCTCAAATAATCAGTGTAGAGATCTACTCGCCTTCACTCCACTCCAACGTCAACAACATCCCAATATTGAACACTAATCTCAGTCAAGTCAGTGCTTCTTTCTATACTATATGGTTGAGAGACTTGGCGCCTTACGAAAAGCATTTCCAACAAACTGCACACATACATCGTCGACAGCTGTCACCTACGCTCACTCGATACTGAAGATGTGGGGATGAGATGTCGAGAATGATAGGAATAAGGAAGAAGGAACTGTGGCTGTCAAGGAACGGAGAACGTATTGTGCAAGAAATATGCGTTAGAATAAAGTGGAGATTGATTTGAGTGGATTGGATTGGATTGTATATAGAATGAGAAGACTGTTTTTGGGACATCACACTCCAGACAAGAGCAGGCGAGGCCAGGCTGGGGCAGGGCAGGGCAGGTCATCGAGTGGAACGGAAATGGGGAACTATGAGTTGGGTGTCCGAGTGTGACATGGAGAAGACTGTGTGAGGTAGGAATGTAAGCAGTGGTGGTCAGTTGTGGAGGCAGGTTGAGAAGACTGGAGAGAAGAGAGTGAAATGGTGACGTGCTGCTGAAGTTCTGTGTTGCACTAAAAACCCAAAGGACAAATAATAATAATTCCTCATTGGTAGACATCAGTTTGAGAAACATCGGAAAACTGAGAGCACTGGACTGCTGTTTCGTCCTAGTATCGGACTCAGGGGTGTGCACTCATGCGCTCACCTCGCCAAAGGTCGAACCTGGGACGTCTGTGTTCCGTGGTCGGCATTTTGTTATTGAGCCATTGTGTTGCAGCCCAATAATCCACATTTCCAACTTCTGGCACGGTCGTCGGTGCGCACTGCTGATTGGTAAGTCATCTACTAAAACGAAACAGCTATCCAGTGCTACTGGGTTCCCAATGTCAATCCATGCTGAATGCCAACCTGTAATCAATAATTCCCCACAAACCCCTAAATTATATAAGTCCTATTGCTGCTGGTTTCTGATGTCCTCATGAAAAGTCTTTAGCGGTGGGACAAACCTGGTGTTCGAGAAGACAAATACTCAACGATGACATTAGGTGATTATCGTGGAGTGATAGAAGTTGGAAATAGCGACCACCAGTTCAAGGGTTAGGTGCTGGTTGTGTAAATGGAGGTCCTGGGTTCGATTATTGACGGGGCGCGATTATGGGTGTGTACTGCTGAGAAGTCCGACACTAGGACGAAACAGGTGTCCAGTGCTCCCGGCTCCCCATTGTTCGTCCAACTGATATCACTCGATGATGAATACCAACTTGAAATCAATAGATCCCCATAAACTCCCAAATTGAAAGGTACTGTGAAGTTTGGCAACTTGAACCGATCCACCTGTGTGCGTGGTTCTACGCTAATTTTGTCAGTTATGGGCAAGGCATATCTGCACGCATATAACAAGTTTATGTCTTCTTGGTTTTTCATGGTATGCATGACGCAGTGGTAGGCTCTCTGATTTCAGCATTCATTGACGCATGCCTTATCAGTGAATGCCTATTATCGTAAAACCTTTTGGTTTAGACAGGGCTTCCTATACTGATTAATTCCCTACCCTTAACATTAGAATACAGTACACCTTGTTGTGGAAAAGTACTAAAGAATAAACAGGTTGCATCGATTTACCCGCCTTTCGGCATTGGTACCGATGTATTATTTGTGATGTATAAGTTATCGTTATCTTTTTTTTTCACTCTGTTCAATGCTTAATACTTTTTTGTTTGTTTACCTTTTATCAGGCTATGTTAGATGTTAGTGCAGAGTGCGGATGGCTTCGTACTTGTTTAAATTGCATAATTCTTATGCAAATGATTACTCAAGGATTATGGGTTGAAGAATATGGTAGTAGTCTGTTACAATTACCTAAAATAACACGTGAACATTTGGACTTGTTCAAGTATGTAATATTATTCTTATAACCTAATTTTATTATTTTCAATATTTCAATAGGTACAACAATATATTTGTACAGTCATCTTTCAATTAAGAGTTTAATATTCTACAGTATACTGTTGTTTCTCTTCGAGATATTCACTCAACTGAAAGCTGAACTACTACTACTACTACTACAGCCTACTTCATAGAAATATATTCCCATTGCTTCGGTTAGTTCCACAGTCGGTGAAATTATCAGGTTTATTCCTTCGATAAGAATCTACTTCAAAAGATACCGTAAATCTGTCGAGGTATACTTCAGTTGTCTATTAAGAGTCCAGTTTACTTCTGTAAATTTCATCCTGTTGAATGACGTGGCTATAAAACACGGCAGTTGAAGGTAGAAAATGTCACATTTTCTGTCACCATTGTCTTTACAGCAATAAGAAGTCAGTTAACAAGGGTCATGTGTTACGTATGCATTGTAACCGTCTGGCTTATCATCGAATGTTAGTTGAATTACGTTTAAGTTGGAGAAAATTTAGGTATGGATAAACTAAAACATGATGTCGATTTACAAAGTCTTCGACTGTTTTTCAGGGTTGCGTAAAAATAGAGTGTAAACTTGTGTATTGGCGTCGACGTTACAATCGATATCAATAGTTGGAGACTCTAGCTTAGAATCAATCTCGGTGACCCAGATCCTTATTCATATGGTTACCCCCTTTGAAATCTCTTTTCACAACTTTCTACCACTTATAATTCTATCTTTCACTTTGATGCCTTCTCATCTGGTGTACTGATATTGAAGTATGACAACTTTGAACATTATGTAACAGTTCCAGATTTCACATTGAAACTAACTGTGACTATGTTGCCAGTTACATCTAAATTGTTGATTATATGTTATACTGTCATGTAAACTATTTTATATGTGACAAAATAGGAGGGAGGTACCTCCAAAAACTTGTTATCATCTTAGCAGATTTGTTTGAAGACGGTATCATCATCAACATAGGACCTAGTCATTACTACATAACGGTCCGAGTTGCCACACCTCATATCAGTACATCAAGTAGAAAGGTAGTGAGGTGAAAGATGAAGATAATGAAACTCAGTCAAAAGGAATATAAAGCACGGAAAGAGAGAAAGGAAGAATGAGAAAATGTTGAGATTCGGTATAGCGTCGTTAAGACGACGATAATGTGTGTATACATCTGCACCACTGACATCGGTTCTGAGCCATATCATCTAGAGTCTCCAACCACTGGTTCCTCTTGTCCCGCCGACCCCAACCGGTTAGTGTGTATTGCCCAACACGGCTTAAACCAACAGTCAGAGGCTTCATACATTGATGCCGTATTTCAGTCTGGTCACCTCGAGCCTTTTTCCAACCTGGACCTACTTCGGCTTAAATTGGCGAAAGCCAATTGAGCCTTTTGTATGTATACAGAAATTTCATCGGCCACTGCCACTGATCAACGCTCCAGGGCTAATCTAACTTTCAAGGTAAGTGAAGTGGTCGACACGCTCAATCACTACACTCTTTATTGTTAGCCGCGCTGGGGCACCGTTGAAGACCAATCCTGGATCAACAATTTACATTTGGGTAGTGAGAAATGCATACCAAACATTCTCAAATTGCTACTCAAAGTGTTTAGAAGACTCTGCATTTTGTCAGCCTCTTCACCTAACAGGACTATGTCATCTGCATATTCTAGGTGTAACAAAAATTCTCGTGTGATTAGGTCAACGTTTGTGTAATAAGGTGACGAGAGGGAGACCTCCATGAGAATATGTATGATAAAATTGAATGAGAATGGAGAGAGTTAGCACGTTTGACGAACACCACTCGATGAGTATAGCACCCATAGGCCCTAACATGCCCACAAGTGTTACGAGTAGAGAGCTTTCAATAAGGTGATGTACTTACGCGGCACGCCTTTCAGTGATAGACACTGTCATAAGACTTCTCGATCAACGAAGTCAAATGCCGCCTTCAGGTCGAGAAATACAGCTATTTCCGGGCATCTGTAAGCGTGTCTATGTTCCAGGACCTGGTGTAGTGTGAATATTTGGTTGATACACCGGCTGTTGGATCTAAATCCTGCCTGGTTTTCTCGGGCTTGTTGTTCCTGAGCTCTACTCAGGCGTCGGAGAATTATAGAACCTAGGATATTGGATACTATGTTCGTCAGGCTGATTCCTCTGTGTTTATCACAAGAAGACTGCTCGCCTTTCTTGAAGACTGGGATAGTCAATGATTGAGACTAGTCAGGGGGGATCGTATTTGATTCCCAAGTCTGCAAAATCACTGTTCATATCTAATATTAAAATGAAATAATTACCGGTTATGTCAATGTCATCTACATTGAAGCCATCTCATTGCCAATGATATTATATTATATATTATTAGTCCCTTGGGTTCCTAATGGAACATAGGGCTTCAGTAGCACATCTCCAGTGACCTCTGTTCTCTGAGATCTTTTGAACCTGGTTCCACGACAGCCCAGAAGCTCTCATTTCCTCCTGGCACGATCTCCTCCATGTCACCCTCATCTGGGACGTCCAACTCGTCGCTTCCTATGGGGATTCCACTCGAGGGCCTGACGCGTGATGTCATTTTTTTTTCCTATTCAATATATTCTTCATTTCTCTTTTTTATTATTGATTATTTTACTTCAGAGGTGGTCGTAATAAAAATATCAATTCGTTACCTGAACTTATCGACTATGTGGCATATTCACCCAATCGGTTAGATTCAATGCTTCAAGGTCATATCGAACAAAATATTATCAATCTTGTAAAACAGGTAAATAAGTGTTGTGTACTTTTTTCAATAAAAAACGATTGGATCATGTTTCTTTCAATAAGTAGAATAATTTCAATGGTTCAACAGTATGTCAGTAGTGTTGTTAAACTTTATTTTAAATATTGAAATCTTATTCAAGGTTGTAGTGAAAATAGGTAAGACAAGAACATCTTACGGACTGACATTAGTTGGGGAACCATTGAAAACATGGGAGTACTGGACAGGTGTTTCATCCCAACAGTACTCACCCACGACCCAGCTGTGGACGGAACTCAGGATCTTCAGATTTCACGACGAACATGTTAACTTTTGTCAATTCACGATATAATGCAACTATCACACAAGGTCTTCAGTTAGCATCCACATCACTTCCAACTGGTTGACCCCACAGGTCACAGTAATGAGATGAATGGAGATTTTTAATTTAGAGGTAGTTTTCATCATGGACTGATATCAGTTGGGGAACCATTGAAAATCTGTCAGCACCGGATAGCTGTTTCGTTCTAGTATGGATATCAAGAAGTTCTAGTGATAAGGCGTGATCTGTGGGGTCAGAAGGTAAGCGAATACCAAACCAAAGATCTTGAGTGAAAGTAGCGTTACGCCGTGAATTGACAAAAGTTGGAAACGGTGAACCGACCTAGTGGCTGGATGGTTAACATGTTTGCTGTGAAACCTAAAGATCCTGAGTTCCGTCCATAGTCGGATTGTGGGTACGTGCTGTTGAGGAGTCTCATACTTGGACGAAACACTTGTCCAGTACTTCCACGTTTCCAATGGTTCCCCAACTGATGTCAGTCCATGATGCATACTACTTCTAAATTAAAAATCTCCATTCATCTCAAAAATATCTTTAAATGTTGATGATTTTTCTTTGTTTTAGCTGAGGGATGCTCAGTCTGCTTTATTTGTTGGTTTTTATTCTATCTTGACTGGAAATTTTTTTTCAAGAAATTGGGAAAGAAAGCAAACTAGCTACTTCTCAACAATCAACCAAACTTTCGAGTTACGCGTTAAAATACTAAACACAGAACTTGTCTTAAATACGGTTCTATATTAATAGGCTATATTGAGTTATAAAATACGAACCTCGAATCATGAGGTGTCTGCAGGCTTATCGCTATCAAAGCACTTTACAAAGAGTAGGTCAACAGTAAAAACAGCGAAGCTGTGTCCAAGCTACCAGAAAAGAATATAGAGGACACACGTAAGTTCTCACGATGAAGTAAAGATGCAAGGTAAACAAATATTCATGGTGGAATAGAATATCAGGGAACAACAACAGAAATTACAACACCATCATGAACTGTGAGCGATATTGATATCTACAGATGATGAAGAAGATGCCAATGATTAATCAAGGCTGTGCGATAAAGCAACATTATAAGGAAACATGATTGACTATACTACTCAAAAATACTAAGTAGTATAAAACTGAAAGTATAAAAAGGGGATGCAACGAGAACATTCCATGTGGGGTAAACGAGAATAAGTAAGAAAGGGGTTAATACCAACAAAAATTTCAACAATATCTACGCTTTATTGTGACTCTGATAACACCCTTCTGTATATACACCACATAATTTTTCTCAGATTGATGAATCACCGTTTTGGTTAGAAATTGAATTTGAATAGCAGCAGTTATAAATAATTATAAAATCCGGTGAACAAAGAATGTTTATTTTGTAATATCTAATTGACTACTGTGATGAATTACTGTGTATAGTCAGTCGAGTCGAATATGAGTGTATTCAGTAACCTTGTACACAGTCGTGTAGTAGACAATGAACTACAACTGTTGTATAAGGATTAATAATACTACCTGGGTGGTCAAACTTTTCCGCAGGTGGAATGGTGCTCGAACCAGTCGAAAGTCATCTCCTCGAATCAATTACCTTTAGTTCTTTGTATACCTCATTATAATGTTTGGCAGTTTGATTTATTACTTTTAAATCTACCTGTGAACCTATATTGGTGGCATCTATACTCCACAGAATAGTGAGAATGTTGTGAAGTTATGAAATGATTGAAAAGACTTGTTGCTCAAGATAAGGATGATTGCAGTTTAGTGGTCGTTCAGCTTTGATATTATGTCGTAAATGTTTCATCAATAGACTTGATAATATCCTCAGCAATAACCTCGCATAGAAGTGAAATGTATTCGGATGTCTATGTAGTGTTGTCCAGTTGTAAATTGGGGAAGAGATTTTATCACACTTTGACCTTCAATTTCATTTGGTCAACTTGGTAGTTAATCTTTGTCGGAATTGAATGTGTGTTATTTGTTGTTTTCACGTGCATCATTATTGATTTGTTTGGTTAACTAACCCTTGTTTGATCCACTAGTCTGTTTGTTGACATTTCGTTTGAATGCTATACCCTTCGAAGGATTTCCACATTCTCCCAGTCGAATTTGTCATCGTGATTCTCTGTATGCATTGAAATCAAGGAGGTTGAGCCAATATCGCTCTACTGCTGGTCGGTGTTCATGTATTCGTTGAGCAATTTGATGGTTAGACTGACTAACATAATTCTGTAAAGAATTTCTGCAATTAATTTTGTAGATTATATTTGTCCCGTCTTCTTTTGGTAATGGATCTTTTGGTTTGTACAACATCCTGTGTAGTAACTTTGTTGGTTTGTGTTCTGTTCTGATTCCGAAAGGATAATGCAATCGGTTGAATGTTTCTGAGACGTCTTTAATGATGTAGGATAATGTAATATACAGTTCTCAGGTTATACTGTAGTTTTCACCCATCATATTAGAGTAATGTAAACACCGATCGTTTGGAACCGCGCTGATCAACGGTGTACCGGACAAGTTGAGCTCACATACCCAAATTAGTTCAGATCACCTAGATTTGTCTGGCTAGCTGACTTATGTGAACCGGTTTGTCGAAGATAGGATGACCAATTTGTAAATGAACTACAGTTTGCTCAGTTCACGTTAGCACTGTCATAGCTGAGTAGTTTTTCTACTGCCTAACTGTGGTATCAACTGAGTCTCCTTCGGAAACCACCCAGGTGCCGTAGTCACAAAGACAAAGTGTCATGAACTAGTGAGATGTGCTGCTATTAGTAGTATGCTACTGTTTTAGGCATACCGCCCTATGGAAGTCAGCTATCCAAACAGATTCAGGTGATCTAAACTAATTCGGCTTTATCAGCTGGATTCGTCCGCGGACGCCGCTGATGAGCTCAGCCCTAAACGAGTGAAACCAACGTCCGGTGTTTGGTTCACTGTGATTTAACTGGTTAGCTGTCGAACTCTCCAAATCTACCTACCTAGGCAAGTCAGCTTCATTTCAACTACAGGCGGCACAGGAACAGATGAGGACGTCAAAGTCACATTCGGAAAGACAACAGGACAGGCCTCTATTAATCTCAAATAATCAGTGTGGATATCTACTCCACTCAGCATAAAGCGTCAACAACATCCCAATATTGAACACTAATCTCAGTCAAGTCAGTGCTTCTTTCTATACTATATGGTTGACAGACTTGACGCCTTACGAAAAGCATTTCCAACAAACTGCACACATACATCATCAACAGCTGTCACCTACGCTCACTCGATACTGAAGATGTGGGGATGAGATGTCGAGAATGATAGGAATAAGGAAGAAGGAACTGTGGCTGTCAAGGAACGGAGAACGTATTGTGCAAGAAATATGCGTTAGAATAAAGTGGAGATTGATTTGAGTGGATTGGATTGGATTGTATATAGAATGAGAAGACTGTTTTTGGGACATCACACTCCAGACAAGAGCAGGCGAGGCCAGGCTGGGGCAGGACAGGACAGGTCATCGAGTGGAACGGAAATGGGGAACTATGAGTTGGGTGTCCGAGTGTGACATGGAGAAGACTGTGTGAGGTAGGAATGTAAGCAGTGGTGGTCAGTTGTGGAGGCAAGTTGAGATGACTGGAGAGAAGAGAGTGAAATGGTGACGTGCTGCTGAAACTCGATGTTCCACTTGGAGCTCAAATGGATGAGGTAGTATTCAGTCACATTTTGTATACACTTCTGTCGAAATGCAAGTTGGCATTCCTAATTATCGACCTGAGTTACTTCACTTCATATATGCGTGTCAAGATACAATGAAAATGGACAAAGGACGGTTACGATATATCTACAAACTTTTATGAGCCAAAGGATAGAAATAAGAGGGGGTTAAGTTAGTAACGAATAAGAAGAAGATAATTTGAAGATACGATCGATTTTGATCCATATCGTCTAGAGTCTTTAACCGTCACTTCCCCCCTATTTCATGTACCTCAATCTTGAAGTCTACACATTCGCCTAGATGATCTACACTAATAGTTATATGCCTCATAAATAGATACCATTAATGAAGAGTTTCTAAAGATGTAGTCAATTCCTGTTATATGAGGGAATAAAGATCTACATTAGTAAAATAAAGGGGGAAAAAATGAACACCATTGGTGGTAACTAATCTATAACCCCTTTTTCAATACATTCATTTATTTTATCATGTCTATTTATTTTCTGTAACTCAAATATGTTAATTTTTTTCCCCCCTTATTCCTAATAAAATTTTACTTTTTTTAGACAATTAAACGTTTCCCAATTATCGAAATACGTTCTTGTTTAGTTGGTCCAGATCCATCATTATCATCTACACTATCAATAACATCTCAATCAGTTCGAGTATTTACTATAAATAATATTGGTCAAAGTTCAAATTGTCTTGATGTTTATGCAGATACAGAATATGTTCTTCGTGTAGAATTAATACGTTCAGCTATTGATGAGACAAATGGAAATAAGGTTAGTTATTCTAATATGGTATTATTACTACTGCATACAATTATTATTATTATTATTACTATTATTATCAAATTTCATTATGATTGTGTTTATTTGTTTTCAATCAAAATATATGAAATACACAATAGATGATCACTTTGAGCAATGGTCATGGCATTTAAGCTGTACGATAAATCACTGATAAACTAGGCACCAAATAAATTAGACATCGTCTTGGTTGTATTATATTCTCTGAGCTGGCTAGATTGTTTAATCGTGAAGAAGCTTTCATCGTGTCTCTCTAGACAGTGACATCATCCACAGCACTAACTTCAGTATGAAGTGAGTGAGCTGTCAATATCTCTCCGTCAGTGATTTAGTAGCTTGCCCTGACCGACTGGTTTGTGATTGGTTGTTCCCTTTGATTGTTGTCATTGACTGACTGTGTAGATTTTCCAGTTGGCTATCCCTCTGCTTCACCTCTGACCCTTCTGTCGTTCATCGTCTTTCTTGTTGGTTGATCGATTGGGTCTATGTCTATACATCTATTGATTGCTGACTGACCTGAATGGCGCCAAGCTTCTAGGAATTCTCTAACATTCTTTGTGTTTCCTCTCTCCATTCAAGATTTCTACATTGTTGAAATTGAATTCATGTCCATAGTTGTTATCCACATGTAATGAAATGAGTGATGAAATGTCGTGATAGCCAATCGGTGCTCATGTAGACAAAGGCGAAGAAGGAGGCCACTTTGTCCAATGTGTAGTGTTGACTACAGTTATTGGAGTTGATTTTGTAAATGATATTCGGTTTGTCTTCTTTGTTTGTTGCATCCTTTGGTCTGCATAATAGTGTTTGGAGGGAATTTGTTGGTTTATGAGCTACAGCAATTCCAAGTGGTCTCAGTAATCTTGTCGTGATTTCTGTGGATGACTTTGTAGTTGATGATGTACGGGATAGGCATCTCGTCATCAATTTTCATGGGTAGCCGTTCTTGTTTAGGGTGGACATCAAGTAATTTTCTTCGTTTCTCCGTGAAGTTGTTGTGCTGCAGTGTGTTCTCGCTCTTCTGAATAAAGTTTGGACGCAACTGATTTTGTGTGTTGTTGGGTTGTTGCTATTGTAGTTGAGGAGTTGGTCAGTGTGTGTTGTCTTCCTATACACTAGGGTTTCCAGCTTCCCGGGATTTGTCCTACTGACTAAAACATCCAGGAATGGTAGTTGGTTGTTTTACTCAACCTATCTCAGAGAATACAATACAATACAACCAAGACCATCCACCTGAGCTACAAATATTCTCCATTATTTTAAATTAGACATCCGTTCAGAGGTTATGTGTAATTTCAATCTGATTACCGAATGGTCTACAACTATTTATGTCAGTCAGCAGTAAGAATAATACACTTTCTAAACATACTATGTTTAGTCTGCCAACATTTTCTAGTAGGCTGATCTACTGAGGTGTAAGCAATGTTTGTGGTTAGACTAAAGGTACTAGGGAAGAAAGGCAAGTCAGTCGATGAGGTTGTTAATCTTCAATGACTGGAATATGTGTTGTGTATGCCCAGTCACCGCCAACCTTGATATGCAATCCTGGGAGAAGTTGAATTAGGTTAGAAAACGATGTATGTTAGTCGGACTAAAACGTGACACCAATTGATGAAGTACCTGACTGTTAGTCCAAGGTGTTTAGTGAGGTGTTGACTACTCTATTGTGATCCTCGAGACGATAGGAGTCAGTGGTTGAGGTTGAGAACACTTGGTGATATGTCTAAAAATCGGTCACTCTTTGCAGTCTTCTTCAGATTGCTTCCTCTGTCACACAACTTTGTCTGCTTATGGCAATGTCTCTCAGTGAGAGGCGTGCCGAGTAACCACATCACCTTATTGAAGGCTCTCTACTCGAACACTTGTGGGTGTGTTACAGCTTATGGTGAGATATCCAGGAAGCTATGCTCATCGAGTGGTGTCCGTCAAAGGTGCCAACTCTCTCCATTCTCATTCAATTTCATCATAGATATTCTTATGGAGGTCTCCCTATCGTCACTTGACTACATAAAGGTTGACCTAATCACAGGAGAATCTTCGTTAGACTTAGAATATACAGATGACATAGTCCTGTTAGGTGAAGAGGCTGACAAAATGCAGAGTCTTCTAAACACTTTGAGTATCAATTTGAGAATGTTTGGGATGCATTTCTCACTACCCAAATGTAAATTGTTGATCCAGGATTAGTCTTCAACGGTAATGTGGCTAATAATAGAGGGTGTAGTGATTAAATGTGTTGAGCACTTCACTTGACTGGGAAGTAAGATCAGCCCTGGAGCGTTGGTCAGTGGCAGTGGCCGATGAAATGTCTGCATACACACAAAAGGCTCAACTGGCTGTCGCCAACTAACGCAACCTACTGGGCCACCCTGATATCCAAATGTCGATTAAGGATAGAGTCTACTGCACAGCAGTCCACTCTGTTCTACTACGCACATGTGAAACACGGTCATTGAAAGTGGAATATATGAGAAGGCTTCAAGTGTTTGACCACCGTTGCCTTCGTAGTATACGCCGCCATATTCCGTGGTGTCACCACGTGAGTAACCCAGAAGTCAGGGTCAGGTGTAGAGTTTTAGGAAGAAGAGGTAAATCAGTTGACATGGTTGTAAACCTTCATCGACTCAGATGGCTGCCTGGGACATGTGTTACACATGCCTAATCACTGATTGCCTCGTTGAAGTAGGTTCAGGTTGGAAAAAGTCCTGAGGTGACCAGACTAAAACATGGCATCAATGTATAAAGTCTCTGACTGTTGGCCTGAGCCATGTAGGGTGATACACACTAGCGGGTTGGGGTTAGTGGGGCGAGAGAAACTAGTGAGTGGTTGGAGACTGTAGGTGATGGCATGGCTGAGAACCGATGTCAGTGGCGCCAATGTATACATACACACACATTATCCTCATCTTAACGAGGCTATACCGAATCTCACCATTTTCTCATTCTTTCTTTCTCTCTTTCCGTACTTTATATTTCTCTTGACTGTTCTTTATATACTTCTCTGCAGTTGCATGTAAGATTCTACATTGATTTTCTCTTATATCTTTGTTCTCTACCTTCTGTATACTACTGCTAACTTGGATTGAAGTTAATACCATCCATTTTGCTGTATTGTACTCTATGATATCGAGTCAATTCTATTATCAATGTATATTAATCTCTAATACTCAAATTTCCAGATATATTAAGCGCAAATGTTTATCTTTCTGTTTGTTTGTTTGTTTGTTTATTTTTTTCTTTGTTAATCACTTCATGTTTATTTGCCTTCTTTTTTATGTATATATAATAGCCAGTTATCACTGCCTCTTTAATCAAATCTAAACTATATGAAGGTTGGTTTCTATTATTGGGTAATTGTTATATGAATATGAATAATGGTGGAGAATTGTTAGTTTTAAAACGTGTCTCATCACAAATGATTATAATGAATAATAATAAGTTATCATTGAAATTATTAAAGAATAAAAGGTATTTTATTAATTTAATGATTAAATTTCCATCTCCAATCATATTGCCAAATGTTAATATTGAATCAAGACAACGTTATCAGTTAACTTTATTTCTAATGTCAGATACCTATTTAGGATTAGATCAACAGATTGATTTATTTTTTGATGTTATTTGTAAACCTTGTAATAAGTTTAACTATAATGATTGTGCTGTGAACTCTGATTTGATCGAAATCGATGATGATGAATTGTGAATGTCGTTCTCTTTTTCTTCTTCTCGTTCTCCCCTTCTTCTTCTCTTTCCTCTTCTTCCTCCTCCTGCTTCTTCTTCCCCCCTTCTTCTTCTTCTCCTCTTCTTCTACTCCCCCTTTTGCTACTCGTTCCCCTTCCCCTCCTCTTCTCCTCCTTCTTCTTCTCCTTCCCCCTCCTCTTCTTCTCCTTCCTCTTCTCCCTCCTCCTGCCCTACTCCCCCCCTTCCTCTTCCTCTCCCCCTTCTTCTTCCTCTTCTTCCCCCTCCTGCCCTCCCCCCTCTCCTTCTTCTTCTTCTCCCCCGTCTCCCTCTTCTTTTTCCCCTCCTCTGCCTCTTCTTCTCCCCCTTCTTCTTCTGCTTCCCCTTCTTCCTCCTCCTGCCCTCCTCCCCCTCCTTCTTCTCCTTCCTCTTCTTCTTCTTCTTCTTGGAATCATCTTTCATGAGAAACAATGGTCTTTCATATGTGTTGATAGTTTTGTGTAAATTTCATTGTGTATATTATATATATATATATATATATATATATATATATATATATATATATATATATATATATATTATCAGTCTTTCTTCTTAAAAGGTTGGTGATAATTTGTACGACCTCCTACTTACATCTATTATCTGTAAACATGATTTCTATAACCTGAGACCAAGATAATAGAAATTGTCTACTATATTCTCATAGATTAAGTTAGTATCAGATAAGTTTTCTTCATCATTGAGTTTTGTAAATTTTTTTATGAATAATTTTCGGATTGGTTGATAATAGCAGATGAAATGATAATTATGAATTTCTTCCCCCCCCCCAAAAAAAAAAATTGGAACCAATGTGTCACTTCAACAATTAAATCAAACACCCAAGTAGCGTAAGATTCAAAGCATAAGATTTGTCTGAGATACAGTTCGTTACGAACAAACATTACAAACCCGGAATCGTAAGGTTTCTATGGGTTTATCAATGTCAAGATACTTTACACAGGCTGCGTCAACAATACAACAGTAAGTCTGTGTCCAAAGCAAACCAAAAGGGAATGTAAAAGATGCGTATATCCTAACTGGCAACCTTTGAGCTGCCATCCCGGTGTTCTATGAAACAATCTATCAGACTCCAGCTATGAACGTTAACTTGAATTCATTTCAATCACCAATTGTTTTGCCTGACTGTCACGTAACTTTGTGACCTTTTGACATCTGTTCCTCGTATTCACACTGGTTACTTAGCCAGGAATCGAAATCTGAACCCAAATGAGCTAAGTTGCAGAGACAGAGCATGATATTGATTATCGGTGTGACTATCTGACGTGGTTTTTTGGACTTATTGATACAGGGTAGTGATTGAACATGCAATAAAAATCTGAGTGGCAGCAGGATTCAAAACTGACTTTTGGGTTATCGGTCGGGTGCTTTGCCAACTGAATAATTGACGATTGAAATGCAACCAAATTTACTTGTATACAAATGTATACAAGGATACCTTCTTCTCTTGTCTATCGTTTACTAACCGTATATGAAAGTAGGAGAATGTTCGAAATATGACTACACATTCGTCATTATTACCGGTGATTGATTGGGCATATTTGTTATTACAATTATTTCCCCTTAAGCTCTAAAACATTTTTTTGTTTATACAAATTTTGTCTGAAAATTTCTAGTAACCAGAGTTCTAAAGACTTATGGAATTGAAACGGCACTGTGTATACAATAGCACAGACTAAAGTTTTATCAATTTTATACCGAGTACCTACAATAGGAGCAAGTGTTGAACTTCCAGCAAATTTTACTGCTTCCGTCGTGACTACTCTGGATAGTGTTCAGTAAAGCATTGATAGGCTTACTGGATTGTTCTGCCCATCTCTACCGAAGTTAGATCTATAACTCCACAGATACACTCAGATTCGATAACACGTCTTCTAATTCTGTTAGCATCATACTGTGATTAGCAATCTTCAAAGAGTGTTGTGTCAGAGAAAGCTTCATCTGCCAGTTTTCTGAGTGGCTTTCCAGCTCCATATCCTTTGAAAGCCAAAGTTGGTTGCAATCTCTCTTTCGGCAGTGTCTGTCTATTTAACTGTTTTCATTGTAGCAGTCCTTATGAACTCGGGATAACTACTTTTGTATAGAACCCTTCATGTGGTTCTTACTTGGGGATTCATCCATGTATCAATAGGAAGACGATTTATCTTATTATCTCATGCAATGGTTCGTTTCCCAATTTCGCCATAAACATTTTGTCTAGAAAAAGACTTAGATGGAGGGTCTATGGTCGTTTCCCCTGCTGAACGTTAAATCCCTTTGTCAAGTTAAAACCCCACATTGACCCATCGTACATCGAAGAGGTAGCTGTCTTAAGATTCCATGTCGTGTACCTACCTCTACATTGTTGTTTTTTCTGTGATTCACAAATGAAACCAGTCGTGTTCAACGGGCGAAAAGTGAAGAAAAAACGTATAGAAATCGTTGTTCCACTAATTAGGTTCTTGCTTTCGACTCTTGGAATAAATTTGCGTACAACTCCTGGGCTGAACCTATCCAGCCTTATCATTGTGATTCTAGTATAGCTTATGGGGTATTTAGGCTATGTTGATGCTTTACAGTGCGAACGAGACCATGACAGAGATATTTGCCATACTTCCCTACGGTTTAACACAAGACGTATGGAAAATTCTGGACCATGTATGAGGCGGCCCAAATGAAAATCGACAGTTTAAGTCATTAGCCTCTAAGGTAGAAGTTTGGGGCTTTAGTTCTGGTTTCGTATTACGGTATGATCAGGAAAAACCTCATTGGCTGATTTTGTCCTGCAGTTAGCCCATCAAAATAGATATCCAATTTCCGACCTAGTGGCTTTCTGTGTTCATGAAAACCGTTTGTAACTTGCCAAGGTCATTTTAAGTGGTAGAATTGATGCTTTTACACTGATTAGGGTGAAAGGTGTACACTACTTTCAAGTCATCTGCAGAGAGGAAGGTTTTCCCTAGTTTGAAACAAGCGCATGTATCATCCATATGCATTTTAAGGGGAAGAGGCCCCACAACGAAACCTTGGATTACTCCACTGCTGATATTTCTACGAAGGGAAAAATATGAACCGCTTTTGACAACATGGATGTGTAGAAGGATAAATGTTATGTTGAAATGGCTGTGATTTCCCGGACTGAGTCTGAAACCTTTCTTGCAGCACAACATAATATGCCTAATCTCCTTTGAAATTGGGAAGGTACCAGAGTTTAGGGATAGGTTGAATATATTTGCTAGCGGTATGGGGTAAGAAGAACAAGATATTCAGCAAATACACTCTTAGCTACGAATTTATTTTCAAGCTGCATAGTCGTATGTATATATGATATTTGAAAAATTATACCCCGTGAGGAAAACTAAACATTATATTAATGATGATGATGACAATAATATTAGTGCGGACGGTGACATAGGCAGTTGTGATTATGATAACAGTTGAAGTGTGAATGATAACAAAGTAGATTACACAATACATGGAATGGTTCGTAGAAAGTGTCTGACTCTGAAAGGGGTTTTAGTTCATGAATAGCTAGAGCCTCCGCTGTTTTAAGGAGTTGAAAACGTAAGAGGTTTGGGCGAAATTGATAAATAGTTTTAAAGTCATTGTCTCGGTTTGTTGAGTGGTGGAAATCAATCAAATGTTTCAGAATAGGACTTCTAACAGACTTTCTTTCACCTTTATGAAACCAAGCAGGAAAATGTTCTCGAGTGCATGCGGAAAGCATTCTCTGGTTACGGCCAATATACCTTGCTCAACAAGAGCAGGTGAACTGGTAGATGCACATAGAGGCGGCCAAAATAGGAAAGAGGAGGATAGGTTACGGCTGGTAAAAGCCAACTGAAATCTTGCTGAGAAGAAAGCTCCATCGATTGATCTGCATAGACAATTCTCTAGTACATCTGCTGCTAGGTAGCCCTTAAATTCTAGGCTCATGAACAGTCTCTTCTTTGAGACCGAGCGAATAAACAGTTTGGTATTTCTTCCTAGCATATTTTATCAGTAAAAAGGCTAGGGTAGCTGTTTTCGATAAGTGTGCTTCTAAAAAAGGTAGCTCCTAATCAATGCAATCTTCACCTCAGATGTTTCTTATTTGATAGCATAGAGAGTCAATAAGATCTCTTTTTTGTGTTGATAGGCACCCAACTATAAAAATTTCTTAGTTGTCCGTTCCACTTTGCTTTTCTGTGATGGGTCTTTTGAGGTGTCCATTCATACATCGTGTGAGAAGCACATCAAGAAGAGGAATGGTTGATTATGATCCCTTCCCTATGGTAAACTTAGCACCTTAGCAAGGTGCACATCTAATGTCCAATTTAGTCTCAGTAGTGAAATCTATAGACAGAAAGATGGAATTGCTATGATGTCACCACTGGGACCACTGTTAGCAGACTTCTTCATGTTGAAACTGGAGAATTCATCACTTTTTCAAACTATTAATAGCCTTGACTTTTATAGACGATGCATAGACGACACGTTTGTTATCTGTGAAAAACATGTTGGTCTAGATGGTGTTCTTCGTGCATTCAATGAATGTCACTAAGCCCTCAAGGATGTCAGCACCGCATGCCAATAAGATAAGTGTGCACAAATTTACGCTGTGGAAAATTGGAAGTATTGTCTTCGCATCAGCGAAATCCAGGGTTTGAATTCATGCAATACAAGGATTGCTTTGAAATTAAAGCCTGAAGCTAATACTTTCATTGCTGTGTCTGTCATCCTTTACTTCTCGTTGGCGATGAAACGCTTGTGCAGGAATATACGTAGGTGGTTTGTTATTTGCCCTTCTTTAATGAGCGTAACATTCATTGTCGTAGGTTGATAAACATTACGAGTGAAGGCCATTCATCCGTTTCTAAGGTTTGAAATGGAGATAGCCCTGGAGGCGTCTCCTATGTGACGCCCGGCATGTTAAAATCACAGCGTCATTTAAAAAGCCCCAACTCAACGGGAAGGCAGACAAAAATAAAAACTCAGGGCGAACATAGA